TTTGACTTCTTTCTTTCTGGTTTGGATGCCCTTTATTTATTTTTCTTGTCTGATTGCTCTAGCTAGGACTTCCAATACTATGTTGAATATTAGTGGTGACAGTGGCCATTCTTGTCATGTTCCAGATCTTAGAGGAAAGGCTTTCTCAGGTTTTGTTTTCCATTCAGTATAGTAGCTGTGAGTCTGTTATATGACTTTTTTTATGTTGAGGTGTGTTCCTTCTATACAGAGTTTTTTTTTAGGGTTTTTAATGAAGGGATGTTAAATTTTATCTAATGCTTTTTCAGCATCAGTTGAAATGATCATATGGTTTTTGTTCTTCATTCTGTTGACATGATGTGTCACATTGATTCATTTGCATATGTCAAACAATCCTTGCATCCCTGGGCTAAATCCCACTTGGTCATGATGAATGATCTTTCTAATATATTGTTGAATTTTATTTGCTAGTATTTTGTTGAAGATTTTTACATCAATGTTCATCAGGGATGTTGGTCTATAATTTTCTTTCTTCTATGCATCTTTGTCAGGTTTTGGTATCAGGGTAATACTGGTCTTATAGAATGAGTTTGGAAGTATTTCCTCTTTCTCTGTTTTTTTGGAGTAATTTGAGTAGGATTAATATTAGTTCTTTTTTAAATGTCTGGTAAAATTCAGCCGTAAAGCCATGAGGTCCCAAGCTTTTCTTTGCTGGGAGATGTCTTCTTATGACTTCAGTCTTGTTACTTCTTATCGGTCTGTTCAGGTTTTGGATTTCTTCATGGTTCAATCTTGGTAGGTTGTATATGTCTGGGAATTTATCTTTTCTTCTAGGTTTTTCAATTTATTGGTGTATTGTTGCTCATAGTAGCCTCTAATGATCCTTCAAATTTCTGGGTTGGTTTTTTGTTTGTTTGTTTGTTTTTGAGACAGTTTTGCTCTTGTTGCTCAGGCTGGAGTGACATGGCACAGTCACAGCTCATTGCAACCTCTGCCTCTGAGGTTCAAGTGATTCTCCTGCCTCAGCCTCCTGAGTAGCTGAGATTACAGGTGTGCACCACCACACCCAGCTAATTTTGTATTTTTAGTAGAGACAGTTTCACCATGTTGATTAGGCTGGTCTCCAATTGCTGACCTCAAATGATCTGCCTGTCTGAGCCTCCCAAAAGTGCTGAGATTAGAGGTGTGTGACTCTGCACCCAGCCAGTCCTTCAAATTTACAGCAAGGGATAGTTGTAATGTCCCTTTTTTATCTCTGAATTTACTTATTTGGGTCTTCTCTCTTTTTTTTTTTTTTTTTTTTTTTTTTTTTTTTTTTTTTTTTTTTTTTTTTTTTTTTTTGCTAATGGTTTGTCAATTTTATCTTTTCACAAAACCAACTTTCTGTTTTGTTGATTTTTTTGGTATTGTTTTCTTTGATTCAATTTCATTTATTCTGCTCTGATCTTTATTTTTTCCTTTTACTAACTTTGGTTTGTTGTTGCTTTTCTAGTTCTTTGAGATGTATCATTAGGTTGTTTATTTGAAGCTTTTCTTCTTTTGTGATGTAAGCACTTATAACTATAAACTTTCCTCTTAATAGTGCTTACACTGTATCCCATAGCTTTTGGTGAAGCCAGCCAGGCTTGTGTCTTTCCCGTAAGTCAGTGAGTTCCCCTGGGCTCTGGGTGGGTCCAGAGATGCTGTCTGGGAGCAGGGCCTGGAGTCAGAATCCTTAGAAGTTTCCTTGGTGCTCTATTCTGCTGCTGCTGAGCTGGCACTGAAACCACAAGACAAAGTCCTTCCCACTCTTTCCACCCTTTTCCCCAGGCAGCAGATTCTCTCCCTGTGTCTATCACAACAGACCCGCAGAGAGTACTGCCAGGGTATTGCCAATGTTCACTGAAGGCCCAAGGGCTCTTTCTTCAGGTTGTGATGAATTCTGCCAGGCCTGGGACTCACCCTTCAAGGCAGTGGGCTTCTCTCTGGTTCAGGGTAGGTCCAGAAATGCTATCCAAGAGCCAAAGCCTGGAATCAGGGATCCTAAGAACTCACTTGATGCTCTGACTCACTGTGGCTGAGCTGGTACCTAAGTTGCAAGACAAAGTCTCCTTTATTCTCCCTCTTCTCAAACAGAAGCATTCCTCCTTGTAGCCACCACAACTGTGAATGTGCTCGGTCACAGCTGAAACCAGTACATCTCAGAGTCTAACCCAGGCCCACAGCATATACTGCATGGTTACCGCTGCTGATTATTCACGACTCAAGGGCCCTTTATTTTATTCAGCAGGTGATGAATCCTGCCATGACTGGGTCCTTTCCCTCAAGGGAAACCATGAAAACCATTGAAACCTCCTCATTCTCCCAATTATAAAAGTAAGAAATGCTTATCATGGAGACAAAAACTAGTAATTCCATCACTCAGAAATAACTACTGTTAACATTTTTTTTGCTTTGTGTTTCCTTCATATATATATACACAGTTTTCTTGTAGTATGTTTGGAATTGAAATAGTGATTACTTTTCTGTTTACTTTTTTTACATTCAACTATATCATAAGCAGTGTCTCATGACACTAAATATTTAAATAAATATTATTTTAATGACTACATAATATTGTAAATATATAGGTGATTAGAAGCATTTTATCCGCCAGACATGGTGGCTCACACCTATAATCCCAGCACTTTGGGAGCCTGAGACAGCCAGATCATTTGAGGTCGCAAATTCGAGACCAGCCTGACCACCGTGGTGAAATCCCATCTCTACTAAAATACAAAAATTAGCTGGGCATGGTGGTGGGCACCTAAAATCTCAGCAGGAAACTGTAATCTCAGCTACTTGGAAGGCTGAGGCAGGAGAATCACTGAACCCAGGAGGCAGAGGTTACAGTGAGCCAAGGTCACCCCACTGCACCACAGAGCGAAACTCCCTTTCAAATAAATAAATAAGTATTTTCTCATGATAGGTTATTTTTTCCTGTTTTCTGCTGTTGTAAATAACATTACAGTGAAAAATTTTATGCATAAATAATTTTCTATGTTTTGATCAAACACTTCCTAGGATAGAATCCCAGAAATGGAATTATGAACATTATCATTTTTAAAGCACCAGAGACACTTCCTACCTCTTCAGGTTGTTGCATTGTGGCTACATAATTTAATGTGAACACTCACAATATCAGACCCAAAAATGAATTAGCAAAGTAAAAATAATTTTTGGTTTATGCTTGGTTTTCTTTATCTTAATTAACTATAATAATAACAAGTTCAATACATAAGTTAATTACTTGAAGCAGTGGCTTAAGATATTCGTTCAAGATACAATTTGTTAACCAAGTGACAAACAGAAAGTTCCAAAAGTTCTTTAAGTTTGGTGTTTGTAATTGGAGAATTTGTTGACTGTCCTTTTAGTTTGTCATTTAGTTAGGATTTATTGAGCTGATTAACCAAATTTTACTAATAATTTAGGAATCTTAGGGGAAATTTTTTTACCCAAAGATATGCTAAAGTAGAAGCATAATAAATTATGTTGAAGGTTACCTTTAGATTTATATTTAATTCCAAAGTCTTTAGTTTCTATGGGTAGCTGAGAATTGTGTAATTTTATATAGTTGATATGGAAGGTTACAAAGATAATTGAGGCTGAGCACAATGGCTCATGCCTGTAATCCCTTTGGGAGACCAAGGGGTAGATCATTTGAGCTTAGTTTGAGACCAGCCTGGGCAACATAGCAAAATCCTGTCTCTAAAAAAATACGAAAATTAGCAGGTTGTGGTAGTATATGCCCGTACTCCCAGCTCCTTCGGAGACTGAGGTGGGACAATCACCTGAGTCTGGGAAGCTGAGGCTGCAGTGAGCTGTGATTGCACCACTGTACTCCAGCCTGGGGGTTGGATTGAGATCTTGTCTCAAAAAAACCCAGAAACAAAAACAAAGATAATTTGAAGTAAAAATTAAAGAAGCAGGCTTATATGCAATAAAATTGTGTTTCAAAATGTGTTGTATTAGCATCCTAGTAATATAAACATTTTATTTCTATTATCTGCAAATTTTTAAAAAGTTAATTGATAGTGACTTTATTTTTTATGTGTTGTTTATTTTTTAAATAGTTGACAAATATATTTTTGTGGGAAGTAGATCGAAATAAATCAGAGGCAAGGATGAGAACTGTGCATTTAATGTGTCTGAAGGGTTAAAGCCAGAGTGTGTATAGAAGAGGAAGTAGGAAATAAAGGATGGTTGGAAGATTGGCTGTTGGTGAGACTTGGTACTTTTGAGAGACCATAAAAATGGTATTTTATTCAGGAAACACAGGAGCTCTTATATTCTGCCCTTAATTAATGTTCTCCTCAAATTTCCTGAGGGGGAATGTAAGTACAGTTCAGGAGTCAGCAAAGCAAAATAACATTTAATTTCTACTGAGATGTTGATTTCAAATGACAGTGCAGGTTGAACTTGTTGAACCTCCTATTTGCCTAGATTAGCTCCAGTCTGAGTCTCCGACTTGATCTCTCTCATGAGATGAAAAGTCCTTTTCATTTAGGCAGATGGAAATGGCACCAAAGACTGTGCCCCATGCTTATAGAAAATATGGTCTTTTCTATCCTGATGCTTTCTCAGGTAGGGTGGGAGATGAGGAGAGGGAAAGATGGGGCAGGGGAAGGAGAGAGAGAAAGAGAGATGTAAATCTCAATTTCAGCCACCAGGAAAAAACAACAGAAGAAAGGTCATATTCTTATATACTTGATCTTTTAGACTGGCATTGTGATACCACACATTTAAACTGTAGCCAATAAGATGTCCATAAAATTGACTAACATGACCGGTACTCCTCATTTTAGGAGAGGAAGGAGGCTTGCTATTCTGAGTAGTGTGAAGTGGGGACATTTGAGGTAAGAATCTGGCTGTTCCTACCCAGATGTCAACAGTTGGCGTAAGATGAATTATAGAGGCTCTTGAGTACCAAACAGGAGTTTAAACTTATTTTTCCCCCTGATGCTGACTCTATGTTGAATGTCAAATTTGCCGTTTCATTTTAGGAATTGGAGAATGACGCAGCTTTTCAGCAAGCTGTGAGAACTAGTCATGGCAGAAGACCTCCAGTAAGTGAAAATAACTTTTTTTAATTGTAGTGAAAAAACATATAACATGAAATTTACCATCTTAACCGTTTTTACCTGTATAGTCCTGTAGTATTAAAGATTATAACCATGATTAAGTTCAGATGATAGTGAAACAGATCTTCAGAACTTTTTCATCTTGTATATCTGAAACTCTGTATCCATTAAACAAAGACTTTCCATTTTCTCCTATCCCCAAAGCCCCTGTAACTACCATTCTACTTCCTATTTCTATGCTTTGACTAATTTAGATGTCTTATATAAGTGGAGTCTCAGAGTGTTTGTCTTTTTGTGACTGGCTTATTCACTTAGTGTAATGTCCTCAAATTTTATCCATGTTGTAACAGAAGCGCCTTCCTCTTTTTAAGTTTGAATATTATTCCATAGTATGTTTATATCACATTTTGTTTATTCATTCATCTGTCAGTGAACACTTGTCCATTTTTGTTATTAAGTTGTAGGAGTTCTCTATATGTTCTGGATATTAATGTCTTATCAGATATATGATTTGCAAGTATTTTCTTTCATTTTATAGATTGTTTTTCACACTGATGTATCCTTTGATGCAGCAAAGTTTTTTAGTTTGATATAGTCCCAATCTTCTATCATTACTTTTGTTGCTTGTGCTTTTGGTGTCATATTCAAGAAATCATTGCCAAGAACAATGTTATGAAGCTTTTCACCTACGCTTTCTTTCAGGATTTTTGTAGTTTTAGATCTTACATTTAGATCTTTCAACCAGTTTGAGTTATTTTTTATATGTGGCATAAGACAGAGGTGCAACTTCATTCTTTTGCATATGGATATTTAGTTTTCCCAACACTATTTGCTGTACAGACTGTCCCTTCCCTATTGATTGGTCTTGGCACCATTGTCGAAGATCATATATGTAAGGGTTTGTTTCTGCGCTCTCTATGCTGTTCTATTGGTCTGTGTGTCTGTCTTTATGCCAGTAACCACACTGTTTTGATTACCATAGCTTTGTAATATGTTTTTAAATTAGGAAGTGTGAATCTTCCAACTTTGTTCTTCTTTTTCAAAATTGTTTTAGCTACTTGGGGGTCCCTTAAAATTCCATATGAATTTTAGGATGAATCTCTATTTCTGTCAAAAAGTCATTAGGATAAGGATTTGATAATGATTGTATTGAATACATTGGATAGTATGGACATCTTAACAATATTAAGTCTTTCAGTCCATGAACCCATGAACACAGGATGCCTTTCCATTTGTTTATGTCTTCTTTAATTTCTTTCATCAATATTTTGTGGTTTTCAGTGTATCTAGTAAGTGAATTTTAAAGTATTTTAGATCAAAGGATTTCTTATGTTATTGAAAATTTAAATAGTATTACTTTTATTGGGCATCAGAATATTGTTTACCTAAAACATTAATTGTTTTAAAAATATTTGCCTTTCTAATTTTTAAACTGGCATAAATATTGATCCCTCAAAACATTAGGGCTTAGTTTATAGATTACCCTTCCTTGTATTAATATTAATTAATATTCTCTCAATTAATTTTCCACCAGTACATGAATTGCTAGAGTAGTTTTAGTATTAAGATTAAAATTTTTGTATGTGTCATACAAAGCATAGACATCTGTCTTTCAGTGTGTGAAATCTGCGAAGCTTTGTTTGTCGTTGAAAATAAACAAAGTTGACACTAAGTAAAATAGTGAAGTAGAGAAAGTTCTATCCCTAATACTCTATGTCTAATATTCCTTTTTTTTTTTTTTTTGAGACAGTCTTGCTCTGTCGCCAGGTGCCAGGCTGCAGTGCAGTGGCATGATCTCGGCTCACTGCAACCTCTGCCCCCCAGGTTCAAGCAATTCTCCTGCCTCAGCCTCCCAAGTAGCTGGGACTACAGGCATGCACCACCATGCCCAGCTAATTTTTGTATTTTAGTAGAGATGGGGTTTCACTATGTTGGCCAGGATGGTCTTGACTTCGTGATCTGCCTGCCTCGGTTCCCCAAAGGGCTGGGATTACAGGCGTGAGCCACCACGCCCAGCCTCCTTTTTAAAATGCTGCTTCTCCCCCCACCCATCCAATACTATATAGCAGTGGCTCTCAACTAGGGGCACTTGTGCCCCCTGCACCAGGGACATTTGATAATGCCTGGAGAGATATTTTCGATTGTCACAACTTGAGTGGGTGTTACTGGCACCTAGTGGGTAGCAGCCAGAGATGCTGCTAAACATTCTACAATGCATAGGCTAGCTCCCAGTAATAAAGAAGTATCAAGCTCAAACTCCTCTGCTTTAGATGAAGTGTCCTTCTGCTGTTGTCTTCCTTCACTTTGTCACATTCTCCCTTAATCCCTGCCCTACATGGTTATTTAGCAAAAATAAATCATTGTGAGTAGTTTGCCCATCTCATTTAGGGTAAATGAATTTAGTGTGCCTTGCATTGAATTTGGCTAAACCACAACACAAGTAGAGGACACAGTCAGTCCTCCATAAGACTCCTCCACTTCTGACACTAACTGCAAGCTCATGGTTCCCAGAACCAACCTCAGGCATGATAATTCTCTGGAAATACTCAGAGAACTTACTGAAATCTCCTATACTTACATTTATTTATCATGGAAGAGATACAAATTAAAATCCACCAAGGGAAGAGATGCATAGAGCAGGCCTAGGAGTAGTCCAAACAGAGAACTTCTGATCACCCTCTCCCTGTAGAGCAAGACATGGCAGTACCTTTTCCTGAACACTGTGTGACGGTACTTGAAGAGTATTGCCAGCCAGGGAATTCTACCCTAGACTCTGGTGTTCAGAGTTTTTTTCTGGGGCTTGATCACATACCGCCCATCAGGGCAACCTTTAGTCAATAGACCTTTCCTACGGTACTGGCTAATAACTCCAGAAGTTGTTGTGTCCCAAAGCCCCCATTGTGAATCACGTTGATAAGAGTGATCAGTGGCCAACAAGGCAAACAGAGACACTCCTGTCAGGCAGAGCATTTCAGGGATATAGAAATCATCTCCTATGAGCCAACAACAAAGGCCAGACCCCTCTTTGAGTAAAGTTAATTGTTCATATACATTCTAAAACCCATATTATATTTATTTTTTTACAACCTGTATTTTAGTTTTGAAGTTACCTTCATTATGGGAAGAAAAACCGTAGGCTCTGAGTCCTTCCACTAGGCTAGTGCTTATACTGTAAGCTTTTCAAAGAGGCAGATTATCTTATTTATCATTCTTTTCCTTGTCTGTTTAAGTGTTCCATACGCCTTTATTGGATAACTTAGTAAATCAGTGAATTTTGTCTTCAATTAAGTGATTCAAGGATCACATAACAGGTGATAATTTTGCCAGGTGCCCCTTCAAAAGATCTTCAGAAATGACTGAGATTCTTACTTTATACAGGAGGAAACTAAAGCCTGGAAAAGCCAAGGTCTCACAGCTGACTGTAATTGGGATAGAGCATGGGTCATTTGATCTTCTGTTGAACAATATTTTCATCACACCCTACTTATTATATTAAATGGGAAAAAGTTTTATCCTTTTTATATGAAAGGTCTTAGAGATTCACTTAAGAGGACAAAATTCTAGGTTGCTCCTAAAGAGCTTACAATCTTCAGAAGGAAAATTAAATGGACACACTTAGATATTACAAGGCATGAAGTAATAAATTATAAAAAAGTATAAATTGCTATGGAATTTCAGAGAGGTTATTTACCACTAGTTGGGAAAATCAGAAGAGGCTGCTTAGAAGATAAATTAAGAGTTTATTATTACAGGATGTGTAGAATTGAGATTGAGATACAGGAGGAAAGGGCATTGCAGGTAAGTCTACAAGGTGACTGAGGGAAGAGAGTATAGGAAGCTGCCTAATGCTGACAACAAAACACAAAAACCAGATTTAGTCATTAGGTAGTTAAAAAAAGTAATGGTCTTCCCCTCAGTTTGTTCTCATGGAAGAATTTGTGGAGACCCATACCCTTCCTTTTCAGTTTTTTTCTAAGACCTGGAGCCAACCTTATCAAGCTTGAGTTTAATTGTATACTGAAACATGTATACAATTAAAATACCTTCCCATATAAGGCAAAGAACCAATGTCTAAAGTTCACCTAACAACTTTATATGTTATCACCTGTAATTCAGACATCTGTTTTCCTACAGAATTAACATATTTGTATGTTTTTCCCCATATTTTGCCTCTAATTATATTTTCATTGTGATTCAGTTCAAAATATATACTAATTTCCATGGGGCTTTCTTCTTTGACCTGTGGGTTATTTAAAAGTATATTTCTTAATTTCCAAACACATTAAATTTTTCTAGTTATTTCTGTGTTACTTATTTCTAGTTTTATTCTTAGACAGGGAACATAATCCGTATATATTGAAATTCAAAAAATTTCAATTTTTTGAAATGTGTTAATGTCCCAAGTGCATTCTTAAAGAATATATATGTTCTGCGGTTGATGGGTACAGTGTTATATGTCAGTTAGGTAAAGTGCATTAATGGTTTTGTTCAGATGCTCAATATTTTTACCGATTTTTTTGTTTGCCTACTGGTTTTTTGTTTGTTTGTTTTGAGACTGAGTCACACTTTCCTGCCCAGTCTGGAGTGCAGTGGTGTGATCTTGGCTCACTGCAACCTTCACCTCCCAAGTTCAAGTGATTCTTGTGCCTCAGCCTCCTATGTTGCTGGGATTACAGGCATGAGCTACCACACCCAGCTAATTTTTGTATTTTTAGTAGAGATGGGGTTTTACCATGTTGGTCAGATTGGTCTTAAATTCCTGACCTCAGGTGATCCACCCGCCTTGGCCTCCCAAAGTGCTGGAATTACAGGTGTGAGCCACTGTGCTCAGCCTACTGGTTCTATTTTTGTTTTTATTTGTTTGTTTGTTTGTTTGTTTTTTAGACAGAGTCTCACTCTGTCACTAGGCTGGAGTGCAGTGGCATGATCTCAGCTCACTGCAACCTCCACCTCCCGGGTTCAAGCATTCTCCCGCCTCAGTCTCTCAAGTAGCTGGGACTACAGGCATGCAACACCACACCCAGCTAAGTTTTGTATTTTTAATAGAGACTGGGTTTCACCACGTTGGCCAGGTTAGTCTCAATCTCCTGACCTCATGATCCGTCCACCATGGTCTCCCAAAGTGCTGGGATTACAGAGGTGAGCCGCCGCGCCCAGCCCTGCTGGTTCTATTTTTAATGAAAAAGTGTCATCAATTCTTGCACTATGGTTGTGGGTTTATATTTTCTTAGGTTTTTGCCATGTATATCTGGAGCAACGATATTTAGAACTGCTATATTTTCATAGTAAACTGAGCCTTTTATTGTTATGAAGTATGCCTCTATCTCTAGTAATAACTTTTTGTCTGTTTTGTAAGATATTAATATATTGTTATAGCTACACAAGCTCTTAGTCTAGCATTTTTATTGTATGTCTTTCCTTATCTTTTTACTTCCAACTTTTCCATATAAATTTATTTAAAATGTAATTCTTATTAGCAGCATGTGATTGTTTTTTGTTTAGTAGTCTGACAATCTTACTCTTTTAGTTAAGTATTTATTCCACTTATATTTAATGAAGTTACTGATTTACTTTAACATTTGCTACCTTACTATTTGCTTTTATTTTTTTCTGCCTCTTGTGTATTTCATTTTCTCTGCTTACTTGCCTTCTTTTTTGCTTGTTTTTTATTATTCCGTTTCCTGTTTCTGTTATCTTGGTAGTTTATGTTCTCTGACTATTCTTTTAGTGTTTCCCTAAATATTATGATACTCATCTTTAACTTATTAAAGTCTAGTATGAATTAATAGTTTTACTACTGCCTGGACAGTACCAGGATTTTACATTATTTTTAGCTATTTTTCAGTTCTAGAATTTCCATGTATTCTTTTTTTATAGTTTTCAGTTAAGTTTCAGTTGCTGATATTATTAATCTTTTAATTCATTGATCATGTTAAGCATAGTTTTGTTAAAGTCTGTGTCTGATATTTCCATTATATGCGTCCTCTTCTGAGTTTCTTTCCATTCTTTTATCTTGACTTTTCATTACATAGTCTTTTATATGTCTGGTTGGTTTTAATTGCCAGACATTATAAGTGAAAAATTTTAGAGATACTTTATAGCTCTCTGTCCGCACTATTCAGTATTCAAGACACTAGCCACATATAACTATTTACATTTAAATTATTTAAAACTAAAGTTTAAAAAAATCTTGCTGTACTGCTTACATTTCATATGTTCAACAGCCTTGTGTGGCCAATGGCTGTCTTATCAGAAAGGCCAGATATAGAACTTTTCCATCACTGCAGGAAGTTTATTGGATAGCACAGCTCTAGAGGATCTTATCTGTCACTGGAGAGAATTTCATTTTACTTATGGTACTAGCAGGAGTAGGAGTCCCTGATCACCTTAATCCAGTCGGGTTTGAGATAATTCTGAATTGGATGTCAGCCCTTATGAGGGCTAGTATACTATTATTTATCTTTTAGTCTTAGGGTATAGCCTTTTGAGATCACAATCTAAAGCCTGGAGGATTACCGGGGCTCTGCTCTTGGCAGGCCCTCATCTTCCGTGTTTATTCCTTCAGGCTGTGAGTCTCAAAAGCTGTGCCCAGTGTCTCAGCCTTGCCTTTGAAATTAGCAGATGCCTTTAGGCAGAAAGCAGGCCTAAATTCCGGGTTCACCCCTCTAGGCTTCCCTTCTTTTCTTTATTTGCAGTCCTTGTAAGTCTCCAGTCTTGATGATTATCTAATATATTCACACTTCTTTAAAAAATATTTTGACCCCATGTATGTTTTTCAGTAGATCTTAGTGAGAAGGTTTTTAAAAACACTCCATCATAGCCAAAAGTAGAATTCTTCCGTATTATTTAATCAAATATTTCACAGTTCTGCCTAACAACTAACGTTTTTAGTATACTTTTACCTATATGGTTCTCTTTGTTTCTCACTACAATTTTGTGATCCGTGTACTTTGTATTGTTATTTAAAAGATAAGAAAACTATAGGTTCAAAGAGATTAAATAAAGGCAGCTGTTATAGGGAGAGCTAAGATTCAAACTCAAGTTCTCAGACCCCAATTCTTATGTCTATTGTTTGGCCTAGTGGCTAGCAGTTATAATTATGCAGTAAAATGTTTAATTTGTAACGGTTGCAAGCATGAAAACAAATTTTTCTTACTGACACCTCAGGTCATTCAAAAGTTCCCTTTCTCTTTTAAAATGAATTCCAGAATGAGCCTCCTTCTCACATACTTAAAATATCTGAGCTCCCTAATATTTAAGATAATCTAAAAGAAATTATTCTAAGTATTATAGAAATATTTCTTTATTGATGAGTCTGTATTTTCCATTTCTTTTCCAGTTTTCTATTATATAGCTTAGTCTGAATCCTGTTAACTATGTTCTTTTTCCTCCCAAGATAACTGCTAAAATACCAAGCACGGCAGTTACTAGACCTATAGCTACTGGATATGGGGTAGGTTTTTGTAAGCTGAAAATATAAGATGCTTTCACTTTAGGCAGTTTGGAATAATTTAATTATATTTTAGGTCATAACCCAGATATATTTCCATTTTGGATAGTTATGAACATTATACAAGTCTAGTGTGATTAATAAATTTGAATATTCTAGTCATTTTGATTTGTATCCGAAAATATTTTATTACCTTTTTCCATTTGTAAACCCTGTGTTTGTTGACTTCCTGTCATTTTCTACATTATACAACCAAGTCTTGTGTATTCCACTTATATATTTTATGTGAAGTTTGATGTTATATAAATCTAATTGTGTGTATAATTGGGAAACATTTACTGATTAACAAATATAAAATTTAAGAAAAGTGTTTCAGAAGTGTATATTTGAGTTTTATATTAGAGGCTTTTGGAGGAAAGATATATTAAACTCTGTAAAAGTAATAAACCTTTTAATCTTGCCCAGATTACTTATAATTTGGATGTTTTAGCTTATATGAAATAACAGAGGAATAAGAAAAATGGAAGAATTAGGTGAAATAGCATTTCTTAGTCAGAAAAATGTCTTCAGAACCTAGAGGTCCAAGGCACTTGCCTTCATAATGTTCCTTTATATGAGTGAAGAAAGTAGCCTTCTACATAATATAACTGTGTGTCATAGGAAACATGCTTTTATTAGTTAGCCTGAGTGTGTGTTACTCATAAATTTGATTTTTGGTGGTGTTTCAGAATAAGAGCAAACTTTTTCCATGAAGTGCTGGATATTTTAGGCTTTGCAGATCATACGGTCTCTGTTGCAGCTATCCAACTCTGCATCTGTAAAGCAAAAGCAGCCATAGGCAATGTGCAAAGGAATGGGGCATGGCTATGTTCCAATAAAACTTTATTTACAAAGGCTACCGGTTATAGTTTTCTGCTCCCTGTTTTAGAGTTTCATAGTTTTACTCCTATACCAGGAGGTAAAAGGAAGAATATGTTTGTTTATTTGCCGATATAATGAAGAATACTTCTATAACTTGGTTTAAAAATTTAAGATAGGTGTTTGTAGGAATCCTTTTAACTTAACTTTTCTGTTTACTAGTCCAAGACATCCCTGGCATCATCCATAGGAAGACCAATGACAGGGGCTATTCAGGTATCTCTGTTGTATGCTTGTTCATGTTGTGCTTTTATTGTGACTTGAAATTTACTACTAAAGGTTTTTTACTTTATTGTATTATTTTAAAATTTAAAGAAGGTATTACTCATATAGTGACCTAGATTCTTTATATTGTGGGCTAAAGTCTAGACTGTCGTAAATCTTTGAAGGCGAGATCTCTAGATATATTTACTCGGGTCTCAAATGAATTCCCATTGGGAAGTGGACAGAACTGATAATTGCTTATATGATGTATTCTGGGGCTCATTTTTCCTGTGCTACCATTTACAACAAATTCTGTGGTTTCTCTCACAAGCATGTAAGAAACCAACCAAAAGTAAGAGAGTAGCTGGCTAATAAGCTAATTAATTTTTTCCAACTGTAAGCCCAGTTAGATCAAATAATTGAAATTCTAAAGTGGAGAGAGAACAGGATTGAGGAGGTGGAAGTAAGGAGTAAACATATAGTGATTAAAAATTGGCATTTTTAAATGGGACTATATTAAGGTGTGTGCAATGTATAGAACTGTACATAGGAGCTAGATCTTACTTAAGAATCCTTTTTAAATGATTCCCGTTCTCTTTAAAGGATGGAGTTACTAGACCCATGACAGCAGTGAGAGCAGCTGGTTTTATCAAAGCAGGTTTGAGAGGTTTGTTACGCTGTCTCTAATAATAATCTTTTTCGGATCTTTTAATCTTTTACCATTTTGTGAGTATAAATGTTAATGCCATTTTAAATAAAATCTAACAATCCCATTGATTATAAGATGCACCGATATTTTAGGTACCATTAAGAAAGGAAAGGGATGGCCAGGAGTGGTCACTCACACCTGTAATCCCAGCACTCTGGGAGGCTGAGGTAGGCGGATCACAAGGTCAAGAGATGGAGACCATCCTGGCCAACATGGTGAAACCCCCTCTCTACTAAAAATACAAAAATTAGCTGGGCATGGTGGCGCACGCCTGTAGTCCTGGCTACTTGGGAGGCTGAGGCAGGAAAATCACTTGAACCCAGGAGATGGAGGTTGCAGTGAGCTGAGATTGCGCCACTGCACTCCAGCCTGGGGACAGAGCAAGACTCCATTTCAAAAAAAAAAAATGTATATATATATATATATATAAAGGAAAGGGATGATGAAATCTTCTACATATCTGTTGGGGTGGTAATTAAGCCATGGTGTAATTTGTCAATAGCAAAGACCTGGAACCAACCCAAATGCCCATCGATGATAGACTAGACAAAGAAAATGTGGCACATATATACACTATGGAATACTATGCAGCCATAAAAAATGATGAGTTCATATCCTTTGTAGGGACATGCGTGAAATCTGTAAACCATCATTCTCAGCAAACTGACACAAGAACAGAAAATGTTCTCACTCATAGGCAGCTGTTGAACAATGAGAACACATGGACACAGGGAGGGGAGCATCACACACTGGGGTCTGTTGGGGGGGACTAGGGGAGGGACAGTGGGGAGTAGGGAGGTTTGGGAGGGATAACATGGGGAGAAATGCCAGATATAGGTGACGGGGGATGGAGACAGCAAACCACATTTCCATATATGTACCTATGCAACAATCCTGCATGATCTGCACATGTAACCCAGAACAACTAAAAAAATAACCCAGTACAATTTAAAAAATAATAATAATATGTAGTAAGTTAAATGATAATTTAAAAATAAAATTATGACAAAAATTAATGTTTAGTATGCCAATAAGGAAAATTAAAAAGCCAATACCAAGTTATAAGACATGTGACTGATAATTTAGGGTTGATAATAGGGACAGATCACTGTGGAAGAGAAAGTAAATGCTGAGAATATCTTATTTTTGTTTTTAAGTTTTAACACATGTATTATTTATATAGTTTTATGTATGTTAAAAATCTTACCAATTTCCTGATATATGAAATGTTTATATGGACACAGTGTTGACTCCATTAAATAAATAGGTAATGGAAACCATTTAATAAGTAAATGAAACAGCTTATACAACGTTTTATATTTTCATATTTTCTTCAATTTTGCTGGGTTACAAACAATGTTAACTCTTCAATTGTGTCTCAGGCTCTGCATTTGACCCACTTGGTCAGTCAAGGGGCCCTGCTCCTCCTTTGGAAGTCAAGAAAAAAGATAGGTATGTAAGTCCTTATGTTGTTGTTGCTGTATATTTTTATTTTCCAAATACGTAATTTTTTTTTTTTGGAGATGATGTCTCACTCTGTTGCCCAGGCTGGAATGCAGTGATGCGATCTCAGCCACTGCAGCCTTCCCCTCCTAGGTTCAAGTGACTCTCCTACCTCAGCCTCCCAAGTAGCTGAGATTCAGGAGCCTGCCATAATACCCGGTTAATTTTTATATTTTTTAGTAGAGACAGGGTTTCACCATGTTGGCCAGGCTGCTCTCAAACTCCTGACCTCAAGTGGTCCACCCGCCTCAGCCTCCCAAAGTGCTGGGATTACAGGTGGGAGCCACTGTGCCCAGCCATGTTGCCTATCTTGACTGTTGTTATTATTTTACTATTATGAATAATTACATGATGTAGTTGTTAAAAACAGTACTACATTTGCTGTTTGATACCATGTATACATTTGTCTTATCTATAACCTATTCTTAAAGTTTAAATGCACATCATTCAATGTTGAAAGTAAATTAGGCTAGGTGTTGTGGCTCACACCTGTAATCCCAGCACTTTGGGAGGCTGAGGAGGGAGGATCACTTGAGGGGCCTGGAGTTTAAGACCAGCCTGCCTGGGCAAGATGGGGTGACCCTGTCTCTACAAAAAAACAAAAACAAAATTAGTCATGTATGGCAGCATGCACCTACAGTTCTAGCTACTTGGGAGGCGGAGGTGGGAGGATCACCTGAGCCTAGGAGTCAAGACTGCAGGCTGCAGTGAGCTATGATTGTGCCACTGCACTCCAGCCAGCAACGAGTGAGACCTTATCTCTAAAATAAAATAGAATAAAATAAAATAAAATTTAGTATAGATTGTTAGAGGTTGAACGATTTAAATTATACCTGCTTTTTTCTTTAAAAGCCCAGAAGAAAAAATAAAGCAATTAGAGAAGGAAGTAAATGAGTTGGTAGAAGAAAGCTGTATTGCTAATAGTTGTGGAGACTTAAAATTGGTAAGTTCATAAACTAGTAAGATTCAAGATTACGAAGCATCTATAGATGTATGTCTGCTTTTATACATTCACCATATGTATAGACAAATATTTTTGTTTACCATTGACTGGTCTTAGGATAAAAAGCAATTATTTTGAGATCAAGGAATTGTAACTCAGTTTCATAACTTTGAATGTCAAAAAAATTGGCTGATTTTGTCATTTTTGACATTAGTCTTTAGTAGGGAAAAAAAATTCTAATGTATTGGTAGACTTAACTTTGCAGCCTGGTTAGACTATTGGATTAGACCCCAATATGCTGCTGAAAGGCATGCTACCATGAGCCACGCACAGTACTAAGAGCTGTTTTCTTCTTGAAGCCTCACTACTATCAAATATTTTTTCCTAAGTAAACTAAAAAAATTATAGTTTGCTTTTTGAGAATCCAACTTTGCTTTTTAACTATCAGTCTTTTCTTTTAATTTGCTTTGTTCACATTACTTTGATGTCATGTCATATAAATATAATTTCCGTGAATTAGTTACTGGATTAATGAATACCATGAGAAAGAAATGTTCACTTTAAAAAGCTACTTGTATTACTCATAGAACTGGTGTTTTGTCATTCTAAAAAAAAAAAAATCCCTTTCAAAGAGAAGTTTGTGGTAAGAGCAGAGAGGGGTGTCCTGGGAAATCTGAGGATAGAAAATGAATTTATCTGACCTTTATGTAGATATTCCTTAAATGCATAAAAGTTGATGAATACCCAAAGGAAGTTACAAGGTATAAATCTGATTTCAGGCCTTAGAAAAGGCAAAAGATGCAGGAAGAAAAGAGAGAGTCCTGGTGAGACAGCGAGAACAAGCTACAACTCCAGAAAATATCAATTTGGATTTAACTTACTCAGTAAGTATTGAAATATAACAAAATTTTTAAATAAAATTTTGGCTAGGGTTAATGTGTTCCAGAGTCTCTTTTATTTTAAAAATCTTATTGGTTTTCAGGTACTCAGAATTAGATTAAAATAATAATCTTTAGTTCATGAAACACTCTTATCTTTGTTTTATACAAAGAGCTCTTTTATTTAGTTATTTAACTAGTTATTTTGGGCCGAGTGCAGTGGCTCATGCCTGTAATCCTAACACTTTGGGAGGCCAAGGTGGGAGGATTACTTGCGCTCGGAAGTTTGCGACCAGCCTCTGCGACATAGTGAGACCTCGTCTCTATTTATTTAAAAATATGTATATATTTTGATAACTTAGTAAGTACCTGCAAACCTATCATCCAATGGCTCTATTTCTTGAAGAGCACTAATTTTTATGCTCTATCCAGGTAGTTATTTTGATGAGATTGTAATGTAGACTTTTGGGTCAGCAATTTTCAAGAACTTCAAACTAGGCAAATAAGATAATGTTCTATGAGGGTAGTGGGGCAAAAAAATCTAATGCCTCTAATTGCTAGCAAAATTTATTTGATTCTGGAAAGACACCTCCTTGATGTTTGCACTTCTGTTTTTTAAAAGGGTGTATTTTCAGCCGGGCGCGGTGGCTCACGCCTGTAATTCGAGCACTTTGGGAGGCTGAGGTGGGCTGATCACAAGGTCAGGCAATCCTGGCCAATATGGTGAAACCCATTCTCTACTAAAAATACAAAAATTAGCTGGGCGTGGTAGCACACACCTATAATCCCAGCTACTTGGGAGGCTGAGGCAGGAGAATCGCTTGAACCTGGGAGGCAGAGGTCGCAGTAAGCCGAGATGTTTCCTGTGCACTCTAGCCTGTTGACAGAGAAAGACTCCATCTCAAAAAAAAAAAAAAAAAAAAAATAGTTATGACTTTAAAAAAAAAAAAAAAAAAAAAGAAGTGGGGGCTGTTTTTTCAGTGGGTAAAGTTTTCATATACTAAACATAGGAAAAAAAGGGCATTCGAAATTGTAAAATGTTGGATGCCTACTGTTTATAGCTGATATTCTAAAATTCCATTAAATCTTTCAGGGATAATTTATAGTGATCATTTTTTACTTTTAGGAACATAATTTCCTATAAGTTAATGACTTAAATTGTAATTTAGTATATAGAGCTCTTACTATACAAATTCTTCTCTGATAAGACTTTAAGTTTTGAGATACTTACATATGTTTAATTTATATTTACAAAAAGAATTTAGTTCACTATCTTGCTTATTTCTTTGATCACCAGCAGCATTAATGATACACATTTATTCTTTGTTGGTCTTCCAGAGATTAATAGATGGAAACTACTACTAAATTCAGTAGGATACATAGAAAATTAAGGTGAAATTTAGAGGATAGTTCTTCCTTTCTTAATGTACATTTGGAATGCAAGATATTTATTTTGTTTACTCAACCAAGATATTGGTTGGGTATGCTTACTCAACAAAGATATTGGTTGAGTATCTTGATGTAAGTAGTTAACTTTATTATAGGATTTTAATCTCTAGAAAGATTATAGGCAAAAGGGGCCTAAAGTGGTCATTATGTGTCTTTTCTGCAATATTTTCTTTCTTAGGTTCTTTTCAATTTGGCCAGTCAGTATTCAGTTAATGAAATGTATGCCGAAGCACTTAACACATATCAAGTTATAGTGAAAAATAAGATGTTTAGCAATGCAGGTAGGTGTATATAATCAGTTTTTCCAATAGATGTAATTCTTTCATAGTGTTAATTTATATGTCCTCATTTTGTGCTTCTTTAAAATGAAATGATCTACGCTCTAAGCAAATTGGTATTTATGATATATGTATCCTGCTTAAACATACTGTTTATATAAAAATCCTTACAGATGAGGAAATATAATTAGTATGAGGTATACTGCCTAATAGTAAACAAAAAAAAATGTATTCTGGTATCACAAGTAGAATGAGCCATGGCAATCCCATCGAATGTCCCCAAGAGATTATAGTTTATATTTAGCATTTATATTGTGTAATTTTTCAATAGTAGTATTAATGTTTATCAGAATGTCATTTCCTTTAATATTATTAAAATGTATGTAGCATTCTTGAGTCTAATTTTTAAATGTCTTAAAGTTCCATGTTTTTTAGAAGAATACACAATAATATAAAGCACAATGATGTAAATCAGCTGTTTTGTAGCCATAGTTTCAAGAATATATTGTCCTAGGTTCCATTTCTTCACAGGAGATCAGTTTGAAAAAGTATAACTGTTTTGAATTTAGAATTTTAGATAATGTCTGAGACTTCATAACTGAGAAATGCTTCAGAGAATATGAATTAAAAGTCATCTAAAATATCAGAAAGAGTGGAAAAATGAGAATATTATATATTCATTAAATTTTTTTAAATTAGGAATATTGAAAATGAATATGGGAAATATCTATTTAAAGCAAAGAAATTATTCCAAAGCCATTAAATTCTACCGAATGGCATTAGACCAAGTTCCAAGTGTCAATAAGCAAATGAGGTAAGTTTTTACCAGTAGATGATAATCGTAAAATTTAAGTGTTTTTCCAGAACAAGATAACTCTTCTGATCTGTTTTCAGGGGGTTGAACATTTTGAAGTATTTGTACATAAGATTTATATGTGTAGTATTTTGATCTTTTCCCTTCTGACTACTTGCACACATTTTATAATGACAAGTTAACGGTTAAAGCATTGTATGTGATCATGTGAAATAAAACTAAGCTAAGTGACCAATAAAGGAGTTAACCCTGAAGGCCATTAGTATCACGATATAACAGTGTGGACACAAAATCATAATAGCAGTCCTCCAGAACATATTGAACTTTAGAATACAAGGCTAGAAATTAAGCCCCCCTTATGTTCTTGCTGTAGCTTGAGAATGAAATAGTGAGAGAAAAGGATTACTTCAGAGCCTTAGAAGAGGGCGAAGCTGGGTTATTTTCCCTTCTTGCAATATTCAGGAGCAGAAACAATAAGTTCTCTTATGGTCTAGTGATAACTGTGGGGACACAGAAAGTTTCCAGGATATTTACTGGTCAAAATTTCCCATAGACACAGTACCATTTCTCTGTGAAAATTAATTTATTTGCAATACCACCTTTTATGATCATTTGTTTTTGAATTTTACGTATCTTATCATTAGCAAATATTATCTAACTCACAGAACACAACACACTTGAAGTACTTTTAAGCCAGGTGAGACCAAGAATTTGAGCATTTTAGAAAAAAAGATAATAGCATTGAGTAATATATATTAAGTGCTTCATAATCAACTATCAAGACAATGGGTGCTGTAGGGTCCGGCCTTATAGGGTTCTGTGAACTCCTCCCTGTTGGTGCGGGGACGAGAAACTGTAGAAATAAAAGACACAGACATAGAGATAGAGAAAAGAGAGTTTAGGCTCTGGAGTCCACTGCCAACCAAAGTAGAGACCTGAGTGGTCCCGAGTGCCTGGACACTGACTTTAATTGAGTATAAAGCAGTTGGCAGGGAAGATAGGGTGAGGTAATGGTGGTCAGTAATAGGGTCAGGTAAATCACGCGTCTTGGAGATAGGGGACCCAGGACTTTCAAGTAGTTGAGGCGAGGAAAAAATCTAATGCGTCAACACTCTTCGCATATTTGTTAGAAATATCAAGGACATTAATTCTTACCTTCTGAGAAAAAGAGAAACCAGGTGCAGAAGTGGAGCGTGAGAGTGGACATGGAACGTGACCACTGAAGCACAGCATCACATAGAGACAGTTAAGCCCCTGGATGTCTGTGTACAAACGAGCCCCCGAATGGCTGCAGCACAGCCGAGGCGCCCTCCAGCAGCCCTTATGTGGGCATGACAGAGGGCTTAGAGCATCTTGCCTTAGGATCACTTTGTTCACAATGTCACCTCAATTCCATGCTTCATAACCCGATAATCATTAGTAAAATTAAAGGTTATATTGAGTATATATCTTTATGATTATAAATGCGTAACTATAAAATTATATATGATTATGTAAAGGAACAACTATGTGCCTATATTTCTAATTCTTTTCTAAATCAGTATTTATATGGGAACAGGCTGAGGCTTCAGACCCTTGCCACAGCACTTGCAGGGTTTCTCCCCCACAGGTGCTACAATAATTCAGTGGAGTAAATTATTATTGAGAACAAGAGTGGTCAAGAAAGCCTTTGAAGGAGGTATACTTGATATTGGCTAAATTTTAAGAAGAGAGAAGGGATAACATCTGAGAAAAAGGCAACACCTGAAACCAGTCAGGGAAATAATAGTCTTTATGATCTGATCAGAGAATTATAAATAAACTAATTTAGTTGAAATAGAGGGATTTTACTGAAGAGTGTTTAGAAATAAGGTGGGATCACATCCACTGGAATGGCTGTAATCACAATAACAAGTTTCGGTGAACATGTAGAGAAATTAGAAACCTCATTCACTGGAGATGTCAAATGGTGCAACTACTTTGGAAAATAGTTAGTTTAAAAAGTAAAACACAGATTTACCATGTGACCAGCAATTCTGCCTTTAGGTGTATACTCAAGAGAAAGGAAAATGTAGATTGTCACAAAGAAAAATGTTCATACAAAATTATTCATAATAGCCAAAAAGAAACAAGACAAATGTCTACCAAGTAGGCAATGTATATATAAAATACAGTACATATTCAGACCGTGAAATGCTATTTGACAAAAAAAGTAAGGAAATACTGATACATGCTGTGAAACGGAAGAATCTCAAAAAATTATGCCAAGTGAAAGAAGCAAGATAAAATATCAAATTGTATGACTCCATTTATATACAGTGTCTAGAAAAGACAGACAGAAAATATACTAATGGTTACCTAGGGCTGGGGATAAGAATGGGGAATGACTGCTAATGGGCACAGGTTTTCTTTTTAGGGTAATGGAAATGAGTTAAAATAAGGATGTGGTTATGGTTCCACAACTATATAAATACAGAAATAATTATTGAATCATATACTTAAGATGGTGAATTTTATGGTGTGTATATATATATATATATATATATATATATATAGCTTTATCAATAAAGCTTTAAGAAAACAAGAAGTAAAGTGGGAGAGGAAAAAAGAAAACTATTTGTGGAATGGTTTGAATGCCATACTAAAGAGTTAAGAATTTTAAAACTAATCCATGATTTTTTTTTTTAGGATTAAAATAATGCAGAACATTGGAGTTACATTTATTCAGGCTGGTCAGTATTCAGATGCCATTAATTCATATGAGCACATAATGAGCATGGCACCAAATCTGAAGGCAGGCTACAACCTAACTATCTGTTATTTTGCTGTTGGAGACCGAGAAAAAATGAAGAAGGCCTTCCAAAAATTGATTGCTGTTCCATTAGAAATTGATGAAGATAAATATATTTCACCAAGTGTGAGTATGAAAAAGACAGTTCTGTAGCCACTTCCCTGTTATGTGTGCTTTTCTGTTTTCAGAATGAGAAAGTCAGAAGAGATGACTTCTTAGGTTTCTCCGAGGCCTGTATCAGTGTGTTTTATCATTGCTATATTTTATTCGTTATTTAAATTGCTTTGAGAATGAGACTCTATTGAAATGGGGTAGGGATTATGGTTAAAACAGGCTGCATAACTTTAGTTTTTTAAAAAAATAAGATCCCATGTCATTGATTAAGCATAGTATCTTTTTTTTTTTTTTTTTTTTTGGTTACAGAGTCTCACTCTATCTTCCAGGCTGGAGCATAGTGGCGCAATCTCAGCTCACTGCAATCTCTGCCTCCCAGGCTCAAGCAGTTCTCATCCCTCAGCCTCCCAAGTAGCTAGGGTTACAGGCATGTGCCACCATGCCCAGCTAAGTTTTGTATTTTTAGTACAGAAGGGGTTTTGCCATGTTACCCAATCTGGCCTTGAACTCCTGGCCTCATGTGATCCACCTGCCTCCACCTCCCAAAGTGCTGGGATTACAGGTATGAACCCAGCCAAGGGTAATATCTTGACCAAGAAACCTCCAAATTCTTATTTGACCTAGTAAGAGCCATTGTTGAGCAGAGGGAACCTCAACCATTTACTAAATATATCAAGAGTGAAATAAATTCCTTATCCTTATTCATAGAGTGGAGCATAATACAGCTATCAAAAGTTGTATTTTCAAACATCTTGGGTGTTTATATAATGTTAAGTGAAAAAATACAGGTATACACACCTATACATGAACATAAACTGAAAGAATTGATACCAACATAGAAACAGTAGTTTCTGAGCTGAGATTGTAAATGCTTTTAAAACATCTTCCAGATTTTTACAAATAAAATATTGGCATACTGTATATTAGTTTATATTAAGTAAAACCATATGAAATTGCCTCTATTTGTAGATAAAAATGGTATATTTTCAATTTTACAGAGTTGAACTTTTAATAGATTTTCTAAATAGATTATATTAGCTGGCTGTGGTGGCAGGTGCCTGTAATCCCAGCTACTCAGAAGGCTGAGGCAAGAGAATCACCTGAACCGGGGAGGCGTAAGTTTCAATGAGCCAAGATTGCACCATTCACTCCAGCCTGGGTGACAAGAGCAAAACTCCATCTCAAAAAAAAGAAATTACATTATACGGCTATTGTATTATAGTGGTTAAAGAGTATAGGCTCTGAAGCCAGGTGCCTTGGCCCTGCTACTCAGCTCTTACTTTCCCTGTGCCTCAGTTCTTTTATATATGTAATGAGACTAACTATCATAACCTATCTTTATAGGGTTAAGGTGAAGATTAAATTAGTTAATGCATGTGAAATGCTTAAATTTGTACCTGGTGGCTGGGCACAGTGGCTCGCACCTATAATCCCAGCACTTTGGGAGACCGAGGCAGGAAGATTGCTTGTGCCTGGACATTCAAGACCAGCCTGGGCAACATGATGAAACTCCATTTCTACAAAAAATCTGAAAATTAGCCAGGCTTGATGTTGCACACCTGTAGTCCCAGCTAGTTGGGAGGCTGAGGTGGGAGGATCACCTGAGCCTGAGGAGGTTAAGGTTGCAGTGAGCTATGATCACATCATTGCACACCAGCCTGGGTAACAGAGTAAGGCCTTCTCTCAAAAAAAAAAAAAAAAAAAGCCAGGCATGGTGGTGTGCACCTGTAGTCCGAGCTATTGTGAGGTGGGAGGATCACCTAAGCCAGAATGAGGTCAAGGCTTAGTGTGTTGGGATCACAACACCCCTTCAGCCTGGATGACAGAGTGAAACCTTGTCTCAAAAGTAAAATAACAAAATTAGCCAGGTGTGGTGGTGCATGTCTGTAGTCCCACATACTTGAGAGGCTGAGTGGGTAAATGGCTTAAGCCCAGGAGGGTAAGGCTGCAGTAACCCCTGATCATGGCACAGTGCTCTAGTCTGAGCAAGAGTCTGTCTCAAAACAAAACCAAACAAACAAAAAAATGTAGTACATAGAAGATAGTTAAGTGCTGGTAAATGTTAATTATATATTACTTTCATATTGAGAAAAAAATAATATATGTTGTAAAAAATCATCTGTGTTTTTAATGGGGAGTAGAGATACGGATCATACTAAGTAATTGATGATTGAAGCATTTCTATTTGAGTTTAGAATTAAAGTATCACATATTTGTACTAAGAACCACAGCTTCTATGTACTTGGTCCTAATCTTTCCATCCTGATCCTTTTATCAGGTTCTTAAAATCTAGGTTAGTTCAATGGGGAATGTGATTGGTAATCAGAAATATGAAAAAAGAAATTTCTAATTTTCATAAGGAAAAATAGTAGGATTAATTTACTCTCCATTTTATAAAACTAGTTAGTGGGGAGGTTTATTGGAAATTCAAGTTCTTGGCTGGGCATGGTGTTTTATGCCTGTAATCCCAACACTTTGAAAGGTCGAGGTGGGCAAGTTGCTTGAGCCCAGGAATTGAAGACCAGCTTGGGTAAAATGGTGAAACCCCATCTCTACAAAAAATACAAAAATTAGCCAGGCTTCATGATATGCTCCTGTAGTCCCAGCTACTTGGGAGGCTGAGGTGGGAGGGTCACCTGAACCCAAGGAGGTGCAGGGTATGGTGAGCCATGATCACGCCACTCCATTCCAGCCTGGGCAACAGTGAGGCTGTGTCTCAACAACAACAAAAAATTAAGTTCTTGCTGTTTACTTCTGAATTATTCTTTTTTTCTTCCATTTTATTTTATCAGGATGATCCTCATACTAACTTAGTAACTGAAGCTATAAAAAATGATCATCTAAGGCAAATGGAACGTGAAAGGTAATATTTTAAACTTAACAATGTAGTTATTAATTACATTATTTAAAATATTTAATATTTAGTATTAAGACAATATTTAAAACAAAATAATTTTATGAAAGGGTTGAATGTACCTTTTATTACTCATAAAACTTACTATATTTAGTATAGTTTTTGAGTACCAGCCTGGCCAACATGGTGAAATGTGTCTCTACTAAAAAGATGCAAAAATTAGGTGGGTGTGGTGGCACATGCCTGTAGTCCCAGCTACTTGGGTGTCTGAGGCAAGAGAATCACTTGAGCCCAGGAGGTGGAGGTAGGTTGCAGTGAGCCAAGATCGCGCCATTGTACTCCAGCCTGGGTGAGAGAGTGAGACTCTGTCTCAAAAAAAAAAAAAAAATTCAGTTTGGGTTTTCAATGAAGAAATCACATCAGCATTATTACAAGACCCTAACAGGTAACCCTGAGTACTCAGGTCCAAGCTGTGGTCTCAGTCTTTTATGGCTTCATGAAAGGACCATGCCCTCATGGAGGGGACCATGCCTTGGCCATGGGGTCTTGGGTGATGGGTGCTATCTTTCTTCATCACCACGCCCAGCTTCTTGCTGGCACTTGGGGAGAGAAAGCAGCAGATGAGAGGTTTACCCTTTATCTCCCAGCGAGTGAGCTATTTCCCTCTTCAGAGAGGAAGTAACATTGCTTATGCTTGACTCCTGTTTTTTTGTTGTTTGTTTGCTTTGCTTTCTATTGGAATTCTGTATTTAAGATGGTAAATTGTGTCAGCTGACACATGGGACACTGCTGGGGAGGTGACTGCATTTCTGCACCACCGGCCTCAGAAGTATCCCTGTTTGCTCATCTGCTATTCGCTTGCTTTGGTCCCAAGCTGAGACAATTGCTGTGTAAAACAGAAAGAGTCAATCCTGAAAGGTGTTATTTTTCAGAAGAACTTGCCGTGTGCCTTCACCAAAGGTGGTCAAGTCTGCAGTTAGATTTTTCTCACTGGTGAATGACAGGAAATGGGGATAATTTTGCACTGTGGAGATAATACGGGAGTTGTCTATACGATCATAATACCTGATTCTTTGAACATATCATTGAACTCCAAAATGAATTCAACCTCCATTCAGGCCTAATGAAATCTCTCATGTTGCTGGGGGAAAAAAAAGGAATTAACATCAGTTTTACATAATCAGCTTCAGACCCTACTTTCTTTTATGAAGATAAAAGTAAACTAGTATCAAAATCAGAAAGACAATACCAAAAAAAAAAAAAAAAAAAAAAAAAAAAAAAAAAAAAAAAAAAAAAAAAAAAAACCAGGAAGGAAAAGAAAGAAAACTACAGATTAATATCATGTGAATATAGACTCAAAAATCCTCAAGAAAATACTAGCAAATTGAAATATTAACAAAATATAAAAAGAATTATGCATCATAACCAAATGGCATTTGTCTCAGGAATGTGAAATTGGCTTAATATGTAAAAATCAATTAATATTATACAGGTGGCCAGGCACGGTGGCTCATGCCTGTAATCCTAGCACTTTGGGGTGCTGATGTGGGTGGATCCTTGATTCCAGGAGTTTGAGACCAGCCTGGGCAGCATGACAAAACCCTGTCTCTACTAAGAATGCAAAAACTTAGGTGGGAGGATCACCTGGTCCTGGGGAGGTTGAGTCTGCAGTGAGCCATGATCACACCACTGCATGCCAGCCTGGGCAACAGGGTGAGACCTTATCTCAATAATAATAATAATAATATGCAGGATATCAGTAGATTGAAGGATAAAAACTACACAGTCATCTCAGTAGAAACCAGAAAAATTTTTTGACAAAACTCAAAATGTTTTCAAGATTAAAAACAAAAAGCCCAACAAGAAACAAGTAGAAAGGAAGTTCTCCAATTTGATAAAGTACATCTGTGACAAACCCACAGCTAACATCATACTTAATGGCAAAACACTAAATGCTAGCCTGGGCAACATGGTGAAACCCTGTCTCTACAAAAACAAAAATTAGCCAGTTGTGGTGATGCGTGCTGTAGTCCCAGTTATTTGGGATAATCACTTGAGCTTGGGAGGTAGAGGTTGCAATGAACCAAAATTGCACCACTGCACTCCAGCCTGGGAGACACAGCATAACCCAGTCTCAAACAAACAAAAAACAAAACTGAATGCTTTGCACCTAAGATCAGGAACAACATAGGGATATCCAACTTTCACGAGTTGTTTTGTTTTGTTTTGAGATGAAGTCTTGCCTTGTTGCCCAGGCTGGAGTGCAGTAGCACAGTCTCAGCTCACTGTGACCTCTGTCTCCTAGGTTCAGGTGAATCTCCTGCCTCAGCTTCCTGAGTAGCTGTGACTATAGACACCCACCTAAATTTTGTATTTTTTTTTTTTTTTTTGTAGAGATCAACATGGTTCAAGACCACCACCATGTTGGCCAGGCTGGTCTTGAACTCCTGACCTCAGGTGATCCACCCTCCTTGGCCTCCCAAAGTGCTGGGATTATAGGCGTGAGCCACTGTGCCTGGCCCACTTTCACCAGTTCTATTCATCATTGTACTGGAAGGTTCTAGCTTTGGCAGTTTGTGAAACAAATAAACTCAAAACCGAAGTTAAAGACATCCAGATTAGAAAGAACAGTTAAAACCATCTTTTTGCAGATGACATGATTTTATGTATGGAAAATCCTAAGGAATCAACTTAAAAACTGTTAAAATAAATGAGTTTGGTGAGGTTGTAGAGTAAAAAAAAAATCAGTAGTATAATACAGAAATATGTGAATATCTTCTCAGCCTTTTGGCTAAGATCAAGTGTAGTGTTTGTATATCTGATGCTTCGTCTATCCAAGGACAATCTGTTAAATGGATTTTTGGAGCAGGGAGATTGAATAGCTCCTTGCTCCATCTATTCCATGCATTGACCTGGTAGTGCAGTACCTCCAGGAACTATGCACCCCTTCGGGAAAAAAAGAAAAAATATGCTATACGTTATCAGTGAATTATCCCAAAATGAAAATAACAATTATATTTATAATTGCATAAAGATTATTAGGAATAAATTTAATGAAAGAAATGCAAAACCTAAATGCTGAAAACTATAAAACATTGAAAGAATATAAAGACACTAAATAAATCCTGTCACATTTTTATGGACAGGCACTTAATATTGTTAAAATTGCAGTGCTCCCAAATTAATGTACAGATTCAGTGACACCCTTATCAAAATTCCAGCAGTATTTTCACAGAAAGTGACAAATTGATCCTAAAATTTACATGGAAATATAAGGGACTCAGACCCAACAATGTTGAAAAAGAAGAGCAAAGTTGGGCTCAAACTAGAAAGCAACACTGATGAAGACACTGTGGTACTAGTGTAAAGACAGAGGTATAAATGAATGGAATGGAATTGAGAGACCAGGAAAAATCTCTTGGGTTTATAGCCAGTGGAGGTACCAGGGAAATTTAAGAGAAGAAAGGAGAGTCCTTTCAACAAATGGTGCTGGGAAAATTGGATATTCTCATACAAAAGAATGAAGTTGTACTTCTCTCTCACACCATACACAAAAAGTACCTCAAAGTAAACTATATACCTAAATGTAAGAGCTAAACCGTTCATGAATGTATAAATAATATATGGTCTATCCATAATATGGAATGTTATTCAGCCATACAAAGGAATGAAGTACTGATACACGCTATTAGGTTGGTGCAAAAGTAATTGCATTTTTTTTGCCATTGAATGCAATTACTTTTGCACCAATCAATGTGATACAGATGAACCTTGAAAACATGATAAATGAAAGAAGCCAGTCACAAAAGAACACATGTTTTATGATTCTGTTTATATGAAAGGAACAAATTAGGCAATATAAAGACAGAAAGTAGATTAGTGGTTGCCAGGGGCTGGAGAAGTATCTGCTAATGGATACTGCATTTCTTTTTGGGGTGATGAAATGTTTCAAAAGTGGTTGTGGTGATTGTTGCACAAATCTGAATATACCTAAACCATTGTATCGTAGACTTTATATTGGGTGAACTGTATGGTATATGAGTTATATTCCTATAAAGCTGTTTTTTAAAAATTCAGAAATATGCTTTTAAAATTACATGCCATGACCAAGTAGGATTAATTCAAAGGTGGAAAGTTTGCTGCTTTTTTTTTTTTTGGTTTTGCTCGTTACCCAGGCTGGAGTGCAATGGCGCGATCTCAGCTCACCCCAACCTCCGCCTCCTGGGTTCAGGCAATTCTCCTGCCTCAGCCTCCTGAGTAGCTGGGGTTACAGGCACGTGCCACCATGCCCAGCTAATTTTTTGTATTTTTAGTAGAGACGGGGTTTCACCATGTTGACCAGGATGGTCTCAATCTCTTGACCTCGTGATCTACCCGCCTCGGCCTCCCAAAGTTGCTTCATTATTTTAAAATCAATCAGTATAATCCATCATACTAACAAACTAAGAAAAATCACGATTCAATAATGTTGAGAAAGCTCTCTCCTATTTCTTTTTATGATTTTACGATAAATGAGTGTTGAATTTTGTCAAATGCTTTTTCTGTAGCAGTTGACATATAACATGGATATTACTCAGCAACAGAAAGAAATGAACTATTGATATATGCAACAAATTGGATAGATCCGAAGGGAAGTATACTGCATGAAAATAGCCAATCTCAGAAGATTATATATAATCATATTCCTTATATATAACATTTTTTAAATGATAAAATTGTAGAACTGGAGATCAGATTAGTGGTTGTTAGGAGATGAAGAGCAGGTGGGAGTTGGAGGGAAACATGAGGGAGTGAAAATAGTCTGTGTCCTGACTGTATCAATGACAGTAATCTGGTTGTGATCTTGCATGGTAAAGATGCTACTGTTGGAGGAAACTGGGTAAAGGTGGTACATGAAATCTTATTATTTTTTACAAATACATGTGAATCTACAGTTGTTTCAAAATAGAGTTCAAAAGAAAATAACAAGATGAATGTTTAATGACTTGAAAAGATATTATTTCTATATTAATACAGTATAGTAAGTATAAAGAACAAGTTACAAAATAGTATATACATTTTGAGTCTATTTTGAAAAACAACTGTGTATATATAAATCCAAGAAGAAATGACTAAGAGAACTTTCATTCACCACTATAAATTGGTATATCCACTTTTTAGCACTGGGATATTTTCCAGTCGTCATGATGATACATGCTTTTATATATGTACACATACATATACATACACACACATAGATACAGATACATGTATATACACACAAAAGCAACAGGTAGTAATTCAGTTTTACTCTTTACCACATACGATTTCTTCAGTAGTCATGTCACTCTGTCTTCGTTCCACAGTGTAGCCTATGTAAGTTCTGCTGCAGGGCCTTGTGTCTCCAGTATCTCTTCAGTTTGTCAGAAGGCATCATAAAGCAGAAAAAGAAAAAAAATGAACACTGTTCACCCAGCAGCCAATCATGGCTTGCTAATCACATTTCCTAGTCATGGTTTTAAACCTGACTCATAAATAGATTTCTATGGTAGTTGTCCATTATTTAGTTGGCTTTTGTGGTACATTAGTTTTGGCAGATAATGTTTACAATTAAGTTTTAAGAAATAAATCCAAACTATTTTATATAGTGTATCTCTAAATACAATTTTTTGGTTTATTTGATATAGGAAAGCCATGGCAGAAAAATACATCATGACATCTGCAAAACTCATTGCTCCTGTAATTGAAACATCTTTTGCTGCAGGTTATGATTGGTAAGAGAAATTTTATAATACTGCACAGATAAGGTTTTTTTTAATAATTTATACTTTTAAATTTAAATTAATATTGTCATTAGAAAAGTGAATATGAATGCTGATTCCTATTAAGCAGATAATATTATATGTTAAGATTATAATGTCGCCTGTTGTAAAAATTCCTAGTAAGATATTTTTCTTGTTACTCATGTTATTTTGTCAATTAAGTAGTTATATACTACATTTCAGTCAACAGTGGACCACACATATAGACAGTAGTCTCATAGGAAGCTGAAAAATTCCTATCACCTAGTGACATTGTAGCTGTCATAAAATTGTAGCGCAACTAATTATTTCCTTGTTTGTGGTGATGCTGGTATAAACAAACCTATGCTGCCAGTTGTATAAAAGTGTACAGTAATATCCTAGGCCTTCACATTCACTCAGAGGTCACTCTGTGACTCACCCAAAACAACTTCCAGTCCTGCAAGCTTTGTTCATGGTAAGCACACTATACGGGCATGACATTTAAAAAATCTTTTGGCCGGGCACAGTGGCTTGTGTCTGTAATCCCAGCACTTTGGGAGGCTGAGCTGGGTGGATCACAAGGTCAGGAGTTCAAGACCAGCCTGACCAACATGGTTAAACCCCATCTCTACTAAAATACAAAACTTAGCTGGGCATAGTGGCGCACGTCTGTAATCCCAGCTACATGGGAGGCTGAGGCAGGAGAATCACTTGAACCCGGGAGACGGAGGTTGCAGTGAGCCAAGATTGCACCGCTCCAGCCTGGACGATAAAGCAAGACCCTGTCTCAAAAAGAAAAAGTAATTTAGAACTGAAGACGTAAGTAACTTAAAGCCTTGTTGGAGCAAATCAAATACTTACCTTTACAGAGTACTAGGAACCTGTTAAAAAAATCTTTGAAAAGCCACATTTAAGAAAACCAAAAGCATCAATATGCTAAAACGAAATCAAGTAAGCTTTTTTATGCTTTCCCTTATAGGTGTGTGGAAGTGGTGAAAGCTTCTCAATATGTAGAGCTAGCCAATGATCTGGAAATAAACAAAGCAGTTACATACTTGAGACAAAGGGACTATAACCAGGTAAGCTTTAAGAAAAGTTTTAGATGGAATTCCACATCTTAATTGGTAAAAGCAATAAAAACAGGACAACACCTTTCTAGAATAATGTCATCTGTGATTATTCTGAAGTTGAATAATATTTTTATTTCCATTTTAACATAATTTTTATTAAAATAGTTTTAAACTTTTATTCATTTTTGCCAGTTTGTCATTTCTTAAAATGTAAATACTTTCTTTATGTAGCATGGTTGGTAAATTACAAACCATATTCTCTGTTCCAGAGATTAACTTTCCCCCAGATGTTTTCAAAGTGTTCCCCAAAGCATAAAATTTTTAGGAGCACTGATTGTACTAGGGAGCACAAAAAGCAGGAAGCCTGCTATACTCACCAGAGCAGTTTCCTTGTAGTCTATTTTATGTGTTTGGTCTCCTCATTGACACTGCATTTGTAGTGGAAGGGTCCCATGGCTGAATGGGGCCTTAGAGCCCTGCACATCTCTCACTGGCACTACTGCTCCTTTGCTACCTTGGGTGAGGGTAGAGTTGGTGCTCCCTCTTCAGCAGCCTCTCAAGAGTTGTGCACACAATCAGGAGGTTTAGACAGCTGTAAGAAGGAGGGATAACCACAAAGAGTGAACAGAATGACTTGATGTCTTAGTCTGTAACACCAGTGGTTAGTGTAATTATATGCCAACAACTAGGAAACTCAGCTCTTCCCAGTTAGGTCCAAAGAGCAAGGACCAGAGAAAGCTGCAGCATCTTTCCCGTATCCTATCCCAAGCCTGTGCTTTCAGTTTGTCTTCCTGTTTAGAGAACTTTTGCTCTGGGAGACAACAGAAAGGATTAGCAAAGGAAGTGGGGAGAACGCCATCTACTCAAAGGGTATGAGAGCAGAAAAAAGCAACCCTAGTGTTGATGAAATAAATATATAATTAATATAATGTAGTACTATAGGGTGGTTCCATTGCATGTGTTAATTTGCTATGCTTAGTTCTTTGAGCACTTACAAAACATTTGAAAAAGTCTTTTCAAAGTATCTGTCCTGTCATTTGATCCTCACACCCTTGGTTATGAAAAATGCCCCTGATGAGTCTCCAACATTGTTGTAATGCTTTTTTCATGGAAGCAATGTGAATTAAATTGGTCATATTTTGCTAAAGTGCTATATGGACAAAAAAAAATCGTGTGTGACATGTACTGTTATAGATGACAAAAGAGAAAACCATATTTGCCAGTTTTCCTTTGACATTTTATTTTTGAATGATCTTTTTAGAAAGGGTTAAGAGGCCAGGCGCGGTGGCTCACGCCTATAATCTCAGCACTTTGGGAGGCTGAGGTGGGTGAATCACCTGAGGTCAAGAGTTTGAGACCAGCCTGACCAATATCGTGAACCCCCATCTATACTAAAAATACAAAAATTAGCTGGGCGTGGTGGCATAGGCCTGTACTCCCAGCTACTTGGGAGGCTAAAACAGGAGAATTGTTTGAATGTGGGAGACAGAGGTTGCAGTGATCCAAGATCGTGCCACTGTACTCCAGCCAGCCTGGGCAACAGAGCAANACTTTGTCTCAAAAAAAAAAAAAAAGAAAAAGAAAAAAAGAAAGGGTTAAGAATGCGTTGCTATAGCTCATGTTCTAAAATTATGTCCATTAAGCAATAAACATTCCAATTTTTTAATGTTAAAACCTATTGAACTCAGATGTTACTATCTGCGTTTTCCTATCTAGTCTTGTTCAAAATATCTTTTGTTTCATTTGCATTTTTAAGTTTTTAATATGCATTAGTTTACTGATTTTTTTAAATACCATTTCTGTTTTTTTTTTTCATCATTGCTGCTCTCACTCTGTCTTTCTTTTGTTTGTGTATTGTAAGTATTACGAGGTGGGTATAATACAATCTTAGTTTGAGAGAAATGTTATTAGGTGAAAAAGAATTGGGTTGACGTATCTCATAGTAATCATTTGATGACAACTACTTTACTTACAATTCAAAGTAAAAAAGAAAAATTTATGCCTTCTTCTGTGAGCATGTAGTCCTGGAGTTAGCTGTAAATACTTTTTTTTTTTTTTTTTTTTCAAGAAAAAGATGCTGAAATCACAGAGTGTGGGTCTTTATAATAATGATGGTGTTTGTAGTCACTTTCGTAATAGAAAAAAAAAAACTGCCGAAAAGCCCAAAGTGGATGAAATGAAGCCATTGGCCTGGAGGCCAGTGGTAGTGTAGGGCAGGCTCAGCAGAATGCTGAAGCCAGGAGCTAGATGGCATCAGATGGGAAAGGAGACTAGGACAGACATAGAGCCCTTTTCCTCATTGTTTTCAGGGAAACAGACAAGCTAATGTTTATTTTTATTTTTTGTTTTGCCATTTACAATGAAATTTAACTTTGTACTTTTATCAGTTCCATTTATGAATAAACTTATTTTACTTTTAAAAACAAATACTGGATATAGATTTATGGGCATGTAGAGAATGATTGTAAAAACAGCCAATTTCAGAAGAAAAATCTGAGCCAAAAAAAATACTTGAGTGTTCCTTTTATTAGAATAATTATGTAGCCTTTTTAGAATAGATCATAGTTTAGAAATCTAGAATACGAAGTGTTTTTACTTTGTCAAATGATATCCATTTATGATGTTTTAAGTTGTAAATACCTTTGCCAAGTTTTTTAAGTAATAGCTTGGATTGCACTGCTTTTTGGATTCATAATAACCATTTTGGGAGAAAATAGATTTGATGTTAAAGATAGCCTTAAAGTATTGTTATTAGTAAGTTACAAAGTAGTATATATCAAAATTTAAAAATTTAATACACACTTCCTTGACAATAATGTGAATGTCTCTTTTCTTTCTTTCTTTTTTTTTTTTTTTTTACAAGTCTCAAAGATCTGATGGTTTTAAAGTGAATGTCTGTTTCTAAATGGAATGGTACAAAGGACTTTAACACTCCTTTTTTTAAAAAAAAAAATCATTGTTATTGCTTGTTAGCATTCTTTTCATATTGTTTTATGGATGTCGTAAACATTAGAGAATAGCTTTCTTTTCCTGTACACTTTGGAAAGTTTGATGGATGTATGAGTTACGCTTATCCAAGTGCCTTATATTTTAAAGTAATTATCATGACACAGTCTAAAAGTGAAGATTAAACTATCTCAATTCTTATTTAAAGCGAAATGCAGCTTATAAAACATAGAGATTCAAAACAGCTGTGAAGGTTTTATAAAGAATCAATGAGGTAGTTTTTATAGGATGAGCAATATTAGCAATTATTGTTGAGGTAAGTTTAAGGAACTTGTGGTAGTGTTATAAGTGCTTTCTAAGAGAGTAAATGATAAAAATGGAATCTCAAAAGTGAGGATATGATGTTTAGGGTTTTCTTTTCCAGTGTTTACTTTGTAGAATTGTAAACTACTTACCTAGAAACTTCCATCAGTTTCCTTTGACATCATCAGAAACCCTTTAAAAGACTAATTTGCTTGGTAACTTTATTGTGCAAAAAATAATAAATAAATAAAAGAATAACAATTTACTCATATTCTAACCAAAGTATCTGGAATCTAGTATTTTAAGATCTTCTGCCCTTCAAAAAAATTGAGCCAGTCTTCCTACTGGTACTTCATTTGAGGTCAAACACTGCACAGCCCACGTCTCAGGATATGTCAGATATTTGCAACAGATGTAGCTGACAGCCATTATAAAAGCTAATGCAGTTACTTTTCCTTGTACACAACTGCTTCCTAGGAGCAGGAGGCACCAAGAGCCAAGCATCTTCTATTCAGTAAATGTATTATCAAAGAATGAAGGAAAGAAACTCAGTGCCTTTCTCTACCTTGTTTTTTTTCTTTCTGATATTCTGTAGCAATTTCTAGGTTGAGTACTCATTCGCCTTTCATGTAAAAGTGTCTGAACATTCCACACATCTTATTTGGTTAGTATTATCTTAGACCTGCCAGGCAGTTAAAAATATACGTTCATTTCTCATGACTTAAAAATATAATTATATTTGGATTTACTTTAGATCACCTTTTGTAATACTTCCATAATTATTTGTCATAACTGGTTCTGAAAAATTCTGTGCCATTTTTCCTTCTTGGCCTTCTGAAACTCCAACTGCATTTCTATTAGATCTTTTCATTGTGCTCCCGTAAGTCTCTTGTGTTCTTTTCTAGGAACATTTTTTAGCCTGCTATTTTGCCATGCATCATTTAGTCTGAACATTTTCTGGGACCTTGGCCTTGAAGTCCTGGTTGCTTTGCTAGCTCTATGGTTCTTCAAAAAATAGTTTTAGTATTTTATATAATTTTTCTAGTTGTTCTCTATGAAAGAATCCTCTTCTATGGGCTAGTCTGTCATGGCCAGAAGCAGAAACCTCAGAATTATTTTGTAAAGATCAAATTTGATCATGTCTCTTAGGCAAAACCTTTCAAGGCCACACTGCCTACCCCATTATGCAGAATAAACACTCAGCTGTATCACATGACTTCTGAGGCTCATTATTATTATCATCATCATATTTTGTCTTTTAGACAGAGTCTCAGTCCTCCACCTAGTCTGCTCTCAAACTCCTGATCTCAAGCAGTTTTCCTGCATGGCCTCCGAAAGTGCTGAGATTATGGGCATGAACCACCATGCCCAGCCTTCCAAGGCTCATTATTTACTACTGACCTTTCTTCCAGTCACCAGGCCTCTCTTCAGCTGTATCTAATCTGCTATTATAACATCTATGTTTTCCTAATTATATTTTTAATTCCAGGATTTCCATTTTATTCGTTTTTATAAGTTCTAATTCTCAAGTGAAATTCTCTTCTTGTCATCTGTTCTCTTGAACATGTTAATCCACCGCTTTTGTGCCTTCCCCTGGTCTTCCTTCAGGAACTCTGATCTTTTCCCCAGCCATAAGCTTGAATACTGTCATATTACAATGGTAGTAACCTTCAGATATTCCATTTCTAGGCTGTAGAGATCTTAAAAATGTTGGAAAAAAAGGACAGTAGAGTGAAAAGTGCAGCTGCGACCAATCTCTCAGCCCTGTATTATATGGTAAGTTTTTTTACAACCAAGAGTTAATCATGTGCTATTTTTATATTGCTGAATTTCTGCCTGAGGATCATGCTTAGGGAGAGGACCCAAAGAATACTGGTGGAGATTTTTAAGTGGACTGAGGTGTATAGAGGATCTGATCATGACAAGTGCCAGGCCAGGGGCTGAGTTGGCAGACATGAATGAGAAGACCATCTCTGAAGGAGAAGGGAGGGAGAAAAATTGTGGTGGTAAGCATCACAGCATAGATTATGGAACATTCAGCTGGAAGAGCTAGAGATGTATTTCAGTTCCTTTGTGTTATTAGTAAAGAAAGTAACATCTTAGGTTAAAAGATTGATGTAAGCATACAAAACTATCATCTCTAACAAGCATTCATTGAGCATCTACTGGATGCCAATCATGGGGATACCAAAAGTCTAAAAGCTCCCTAAAGGGGAGCATTCTTACTTTGGAGCAAAGGAGGTAGACTAGGAAGGAAGGTTCAAAGTAGAGAACAATAAATTAATGTAGATAATAAATGCTTCAGAAATTCAGAGGAGGCAAATAATATTTTAATTAAGGGATTATAGGAAACATTTCATAGAGTTGGATCTTACAGGTCAGAATATAGAAAAGGAGCATTTGTAGGGAGACAGGGACTAAACAAAAGTATAGAGGCAAGTAAGTGCTGGGAGGGAAGTGCACATGAGAGTCATTTTATTTTCACTAGAAAATATAGAATTTCTGGTAGGCTTTTTCTGAGTATTGAAAATTGATGATAGGTAAGTGTGATGCCTCAAGCCTGTAATCCTAGCACTTTGGGAGGCTGAGGCGTGTGGATCACTTGAGCCTGAGAGTTTGAGATTAGCCTGGGCAGCACAGTGCCTGTCTCTACAAAAAGTTCAAAAATGGTGGTGCATGCCCATAGTCCCAGCTACTGAGGAGGCTGAGGTGGGAGGATCACCTGAGCTAGGGAGATCAAGGCTGCAGTGAGCCATGATTGTGCCACTGTACTCCTGCCTGGTGACAAATACCTTGTCTCAAAAAAAAAAAGTGTAGATTTTCATTTGCCACTTTGAGAACCCCTGTGATTCTAAAGGCTGAAAGTTAGAAACAACTGAACTGTGATTTTTCAGTATTGTTTTTAATTCTGTTATTCTATGATTCTTAGAGGAAATGATCCAAGAGTCAATTCTGTTCTGCATGTAGAAGAAGCCTGTAAGAGCTTTCCTTAAGAATAACTGTTCATGCCGAGGTGGCAGGGCCAAGGAAGGGCCCAGATGAAGGCACGGCAGCAACCTACACCTTACCATCTACCTGGACAGTAAACTATCATAAGGCTACCACAACTCCTTAACTGCCTTAGCCACTGACCCCTGAATTTCCAGCATCTTAGGTTTTGCTTATGTTTTGCTCAGCATAATGGCATAGGAATGGGCTTAACAGATTTCCAAGAACTGCCCTTATTTTAAGAATATTCCACTATCCAGCCCCTTGTTTAAATTTTCTTTCACTACCCAAACTGAAATATGCAGCCTTCCTGACTCTCTTTGGCAGGTAGTCTCACCTTCCTTTGTGCTCCTAGGATATTTTGTTTGCATTTATAGCATAGTATTTTAATGGTTTATATATGATTCTTTTCCACTAGCCCATCAGCTTCAGCTTTGTGTTGTGCACAGTGCCTTGCTGATTACAAGTGCTTATTATGTTTCTTTAACAAATGAGAAAAAAGTCATCATATTTTATTAAGCTATGTTTCCAGTCCCTCTTAGAGCCCCTGATCTGTGCACAATTGAGAAGCACTGCTGTGTTGAACTGCTGTTGTTAGTGGAAAGGTATCATATCCCTCGTATAAGTAAAGATGAAGAAAGAGATCTAAACCACTGGTTGAAGAATGACTCCAGTACTTTAATCTACTGGTAGGAGAGTGGTACCAGTTAGTTGCATGTCTAGAGGAGGGTGCTGCATGTCTAGAGGAGGGTGCTGATTGGGGGAAAACATGTTGAGTTTCTTATTAAATCTGTTTCAACATTTTTGGTAAAACGAAAACAAGTAGATCAGAGGTGTATTAGTCTGTTCTCACACTGCTATAAAGAAATACTTGAGGCTGGGTGATTTATAAAGGAAACGGGTTTAATTGACTCACATTTTTGTATGGCTAGGGAAACCTCAGGAAACTTACAGTTGTGGCAGAAAGTGAAGAAGAAACAAGCACCTTCTTCGCAAAGAGTCAGGAAAAGAGAGAGAGAGAAAATGCAGGAAAAACTGCCACTTTAAAAACCATCAGATCTCATAAGAACTACCTCACTATCATGAGTACAGCATGGGGGAACCACCTCCCTGATCCAGTCACCTCCCACAAGGTCTCTCCCTCTACGTTACAATTTGAGATGAGATTTGGGTGGGGACACAGAGCCAAACCGTATCAGGAGGCATGGAGATCGATCGCAGGGGGTAAATCAGGGTTAGAGATGAAATGTGACGATCATCTCTGTAGAGATTAAAGCTTTGATAATAAATGATCTTTTCATGAATAAGAGCTTAGCACAGAACTGAAAACTAACTACAATATACATACCCTAAAAAGGTAAGAATAAGAATCAGATTAAGACAACAGGAAAAGAAACAAGATAGTATGATGTTTTTGAAGTAAAGGAAGGGCACAAAGAGGAGTGGTGTTGAAACCAGAGGGGACAGTGTGAAGGCTGAGAAATGGCCCTCATGCAGGTAAGAGCAGACTGAAATGGAGAACCACCTGTGAGTGGGCAGAGCTCTTCTGATCAGCACCTGTGGCTGGGGGGTGCCAGGGAGAGAGCACTAAGCAGAAGGAGTTCGGCTCTAATACGGTTAGCACCACAAGGCCTTCACTAACCCAGGATGCACAAAAGCTGGGGCAGACCCCAGCAGTGTCCTCACTAGGGGTGAGAGGGTGGGCCTCCATACCCCACACCAACCAGCCATTGGATATGGCTTGTGTCCCAAAAACAGGGCATCTCTAGGAAGGGGTCCAAGGTGCCTCTCTCTCTTCTACCCGGGTCAGTTCCCAGAGAGGACTGCCTGCTGAGGCTGGTGGCCAGCAGCACTCCCAGCAGCTCTAAAGGGCAAGTCCATGGGGTGAAACATGGTGTCTATCATGGCCATTAAATTTTGAATTTAGAAAATCACTAATGAATTTTGTGTCCCAATTCATCACCAAATCTTTGCCAAGTTTGACGAATATGCAGGAGGAGACCGATAGAAATTTTAAAGAAGCAAAGAGAATTGTTGGATTTATTCAACCAAGCAGAGCTATTAGAGCATCTGATCGGTAATCAAGAATCTTTTGAGGCCAAGTGATGGGTCTGCTATGTAGTTTTATATGATACGTAGTTGAAAGTGTATTATTGGTATCCGGCATATAGTTGTATCTGTTCTCTGTTGCTGTGTAATGTACTGCCCCAAACCGTACTGGCTTGAAATCACCAGGTAATTGCTTACATTCTACCCAGTGAGCTGGGTTCACTGGGATGCTTCTTTCACTGGGCTTGCCTGGCCTTACTCATACAGCTGCCATCCTCTGAGGCATGACTGAGGCTGAATGTTCCAGATGCCTCCCTCATGCCTGGCACTTAGCTGAACTGTCGGCCAGGGCAACTCAGTCTTCCTTCAGAGTATCTCCAGCAAGGGATCCCAGCCTTCTCAGGTAGGACTGGGTTCCATAAGGGCAAATCCCAGTGCACAGGTGGGTATTAGGTTCCATGTGCATTTTATTGAACAAAACAAACATGAGAGAGAATCATACCTGAATGAGTCATACGTGAATCCTGGGAGGTGTGATCCACTGGATTCATTATTGTAACAACCTGTCACTGCCTGAACTCAGGCCCCAGTTATTCACATCCCTCCCAAGACTCTCAGAATCTCATTCCCCACAGCATCAGGCTGAAAGGCCAGGATTTACATCAGGCCTGGATAGAAATGGAGCTTTCCAGCTGGGTATGGTGGCCCATGCCTGTAATCCCAGCACTTTGGGAGGCTGAGGCAGGTGGATCACTTGAGGCCAGGAGTTTGAGACCAGCCTGGCCAACATGGTGAAATCACGTCTCTACTAAAAATATAAAAAATTAGCCAGGCATGGTGATGCATGTCTGTAGTCCCAGCTGCTCAGGAGGCTGAGGCATGAGAATTGCTTGAACCTGGTGGGTGGAGGTTGCAGTGAGCCAAGATCGTGCCACTGCATTCCAGCCTGAGTGACAAAGTGAGACTCTGTCTCAAACAAACAAACAAAAACAAGAAATGGAGCTTTCTCAGGCACAATTTCTCTTTCTTCTTGATCCAAAGATCTGTGAATGAAGAGACATAGCACCTGCCTCACCATACACTCAACATACCATGGAGATATAAGAATAAGATGACTATTATAGACACTCATCCCCAAAGGTGAGGGATGGAGGCACATCACAGTCACTGTCCTTAATGATTCTGAAACCCAACAAAGTAGATGTGGCCTGTACTTCCTAGTCTGGGAAAAAAGAATACTCCTTGATTAGGGCTCAGCTCTGCTCCCTCAGAGTGGCCCCTAATTCTTCGTCCTCTACAGCTCTTGGCTCTGTCCTCTGAGAGCATCTTCCTTTTGTATAAGAAATAGCCTATGTTTCAGGAACAGAAAACCAAGCACCACGTGCTATCACTCATAAGTGGGAGTTGAACAGTGAGAACACATAGACACAGGGAGAGGAACCTCACATACTGTGGCCTGTTAGGGGGGGAGTGCAATGGGAGGGAGAACATTAAGACAAATACGTAATGTATGCGGGGCTTAAAACCTAGAACAGGTTGATAGTTGCTACAAACCATCATGGCACATGTGTACCTATGTAACGAAACTGCATGTTCTACACATGTATCCCAGAACTTAAAATAAAAAACAAAAAGAAAGCAGTAGCCTATGTTTGCAGCTGATTAACTTTCTTAGCCTGCTTTCTGCCCAGAGACATTTGGGGAACAGAGGGCTTTTTTCATTTTGGACTATATCTGTCCCATTAATCCAAACTAGCAACAGTCAGTACAACTCCCCTAAAAACTTGGAGGGTTTTCTCTAAATCTTGTTGGACTTTTCTACGTGTCCCAAAAGCTGCATCCATAATTCTTTTCCAGACAGACCCCTTCCCACTAGGTGTGTAGGCTGCTATGGAACAGAGCCTAGAAGCCTGTTTTGCTACCTAAGAGAGAAGATCTGCTAGGTATGACCTTAAGTCTTTGTGAGATGTTTACGAAAGGTGTTATACAGCCACACCTTTGAATTGTTCCCTAACCTGCCACCATTTCCTGCTTTGAGAATCTTGTGCCACCACAGGAAACTGGAGATATGAAATAATTTTATTTTCCAGCCCAGCAAGTCCAAGTTCTTCTGTATTTCCTCTAAATTCTACCTGCAAACTGAACAGTTCTCCTTAGCTCATTTTTCTCTTCCTATACCTGGTCAGTTGTACCCAGTTAAAATAAGTTCATTGGCCCTTCAGCATCCTACCTAGAAATCCCCTTGGCCACACGTGCATATTTATTGGGTGCACTTCCTATCCTCCAGCCCACTCTGTGGATGCCACTTGTTTCACTGCTTCACGGTGACAATGTGGCTTGCTCTTTATCCAGCCTCTGATGATTCCTTCTGCCTTTGCAGGCTCACTCCTGCTTCACCATCTCTTCAGTCCCCAACACAGCCCCTCACAGCTTTTCTCAGTTTTGCCTGCTGCATTGTCCGAAAGGCAGTGTCAGATGTTTTAGTTTTTATAACAGCACCAAACCCACTTGCAGGTACCAATTTTTATTTCAGAGTTTAATCAGAGTTCACACAAAAACTTGCATGTGGATGTTCATGGCAGCACTATTCATAGTAACCAAAAAGCTGCCTGGAAGCAACCCAAGTGTCCATCAGCAATGAATGGGTAAATGAAATGTGGTCTATCCATACAGTGGGACATTATTCAGCCTTTCAAAGGATTCCAGCACAGACGCATGCTACAACATAGAGGAACCTTAAAAATATTATGCTAAGTGAAAGAAGTCAGACACAAAAGACTGCATATTTTATGATTCTGTTTATATTCAGTGTCCAGAATAGGCATGGAGACAGAAAACAGATTAGTGGTTGCCAGGGGCTGGGGGCAGAGGAGGATGGAGAGTGACTACTGATGTTTCTTTTGAGGGTTGGAAAAATATTCTGGAAGTAGATATTGGCAGTGGTTCCACAACTTTGTGAACCTACTAAATGCCACAGAATTCTACATTTTAAAGGGGGTCAGGTTTATAATATATAAGTTGTATCTAAACTTTCGAGAAGTTTAACCAGGGATGGTCACTGTGAGTGATATGGGAGAAGGGCATTAGAGTTTAATGTTATACAGTTGTGAAGGAGCTGTGATGGTGAAGGTGCAGAAAGGGAGCTGGAGGTCTGAGGAGGAGTCACCATCAGCCAGTGAGTGGCCACACACATCCAGCTGCCACAATAGAACCCAGAGGGCCTTCATGGGGAGTTCTGTGGGAAGCAGATGCCTCTGTGCAGCTGCCTCCTCTGGTGGCCACAGCCAAACCCTGTCAGGGTCTGCATAATTAGGAAGAAGAGTTGGCCATAAAGTGATGTGAGTGAGGAGAAGCTGGCACTCATGTACATTTCTGCATCCGTCCTGCATCTGAGGACAAGAAAAAAGGCTTTCAGAGACTACAGGCCTTTGCTTCAGATCTGCATTCCAGATGTCACATAGGTTCCTCTTTTGGCCTAGACAAGAGCCTAAGTGAAGGAGCTTCTTGGAAATGTAGTTCCTGGCTTAACCAAGCTGACCTGGCACAGATGGTCGCAATATTTAAGAACAGAGAGGCTCCTGTAGCTCACATGAATGATGGCAAGGCTGTGACCAAGTATTTGGCATGGAGGCAGAGAAAAAAACAATGGATTGCTAGAATTGCAGAGACCTAGTAGGTGACGCAGCCAGTGTGCTAGAGGCAGGGAGGGTAGTACTTTTGTGACAGCTATTTCAGGGCTTCAAGTGGGAAGGGGAGCGCTGCAGCAAATGATGACATGGAATTTGGGCGTTGAGCATGGAACCACCTACATATAAATAGTGTTGTTATTCAAACCATGAAACTGGATAACTCAATCACAAGAAACTTGGGTAGTTGAGCTTGGTGAGTAAAACTCTTATGTAGAATCAGACTATCAATCAGACATACCAGCATATGTAAAATATTTTTGTTCATCATATTTGTAATCTCACAAAGTCTGTTTATTTCTGTAATCTCAGAACAGTCAAAGATATTTCATGATATTCAAATAATTTGTATATATATTTTACTTAGGGGAAGGATTTTGCACAAGCCAGCAGCTATGCAGATATAGCTGTGAACTCTGATAGATATAATCCAGCAGCTCTTACTAATAAAGGGAATACAGTTTTTGCAAACGGTGATTATGAGAAGGCCGCTGAATTCTATAAAGAGGCTTTAAGAAATGATTCTTCTTGTACTGAAGCACTTTATAATATTGGTAAGTGAAACAAGGTGAAATTGCTTTTTGCATTATTTGTTTGCTTATTTTTTGCTTTAAATTTGTGTATTTTTATTTTGTTTTGCTTAAAGAGATCTAACACATTAGGAGGAGGAGTTGACTTCCTTCTAATAGTAAATTGAAAAGAAGACTACTGCCTCTCAGAATATAGATAATTTAAACTGGAATTAATGATTCCAAAGCTGCGCACATGCAAAATTTGAATAAAGTTTGCCATACTGCCCTCCAAAAAGGCTTTCCCATCACAGTGTATAATACTGATTTCTCAAATTTCTGCTAATACTAGATATTATCATTCTTTTTAACTTTTGCCAAACTGGTGGGGAAAAAGTCCCATTTGCTCTCTTTTTAATTATGAACAACTTCACGCATATACAAAAGTACATAAAAAAATAAATACCCATGTACCTATCACTCCAGTTTAACATATTTTCACATTTTGCCATATTCACTTCAGATTTTGTTTTTAATAAGCCAGATAGTGCAAGCCATGAAGTCTCACCACCATCACATTCTCTTCCCTGCCTTTCAGAGGTTGCCTGAAATGGGCATCATCACCCCTGGGCATGAATTTGCAAAATATTGCAAACACATGTCCATGCAGTACTGGGTCTTGTCTCTTGGATTATTAATAATGTTTCTTTTGAAGTTCTCTTCTCCCTGCATAGGTATTTTTTGCTTTCTTTGGTTTGATTATTTTATTCTCTTTTCCATGTTTTGGGCTTTCCTTAGATGTCTAATGATTTCAGGCTGTCTCCGGGTATTCAGGAGTTTGTGGCTACAAACTGAGTGGAGTCTCTAGGTCCATAAGGGAGATTGACAGGCTGGCACCCTGCTGTAGGGCATCTGTCTGGTCTGGTCTGTTTAGTTGGAGACCTGCCCATAAGTCAATTGGATCTTTCCTCCCAGAAAAGATTCTTTAATCTCCTGTCTGAAGGAGCAGGGGAGGCCTGCTGCCAACCTTGAAGAATAGGGGAGGCGGGAAGGAATTAGCCATTTTAGGTGGAATCTGGGAGAGCCTCATTGAGAATATGTGTTTCAAGTCACTGAAGGAAGGGAGGCAATGACCACTTGGGTATCTATGAAGAGAGCATGGAAGAGAGGCACAAAGGTCTTCATGCAGGCCCTTGCTTCCTAGATATATTTTTATTTATTTGTAAGTATTAAATATTTCTCCCTTCTCCATTGCTTGGATTTTAACTTTGTTTCTAATTTCTTTTAATAAAACAAAGAATTGTTTTATTATTGATATAGTCAAATTCGTCTTTTTTTTTTTTTTTTTTTTTGGAGACAGTCTCGCTCTACTGCCAGGCTAAAGTGCAGTGGCACAATCCCAGCTCACTGCAACTTCCGTTTTCCGGTTTTTTTTTTTTTTTAAAGACTGAGTCTCGCTCTGTCGTTTAGGCTAGGGTACAGTGGCATGATCTCGGCTCACTGCAACCTCCACCTTCCAGAGTCAAGTGATTCTCCTGCCTCAGCCTCCTGAGCAGCTGGACCACAGGCGCACTCCACTATGCCCATCTAAGTTTTTGCATTTTTAGTAGAGACAGGGTTTCACCATGCTGGCACGGCTGGTCTTGAACTGCTGACCTCAAGTGATCCACCTGCCTTGGCCTCCCAAAGTGCTGGTATTACAGGCATGATCCACCATTCCTGGCCAAATTTGTCTTTTTAAAAAATCGTTTTTATTGCTTTATTCATTTGTTTATTGCTTTATGAAGCCCTTCTTACCTTGATTATAAAATCATTTTTTTATATTTTCTTTTCATGCTCTCCTTATACCTTTTTCTGTTGAATTTCACAATTTTGAGCTTATTTTTTATGAAATAAGAACCGACGTTTAAAAAAAAATTAAGGTATAGTCAGTTGTCCTGGCACCACTTATTATTGGCATTTTCCTCCCCACTGATTTTAAATGTCTTCGACTCAACTCTATAATTGAGTGCATTTCTGAACTATTTATTCTGTTCTATTGGTCTGTCTATTCCTACCCCCATCACACTTTTAAAATCACTGAAGCTTTGTAGCATCTTTTGGTGTCTGCCAGTGGCAAATCCCCACCCCTACCCCCACATTGTTCTTTAAGAAAATCCTCAGTTGGCCGTGTGTGGTGGCTCATACCTGTAATCCCAGCACTTTGAGAGGCTGAGGTGAGTGGACCTCTTGAGGCCAGGAGTTTCAAAGCAGCCTGGGCAACATGGCAAAACCCCTTCTCTACTAAAACTACAAAAAATTAGCTGGGTGTGGTAGCTCACGCATGTAGTCCCAGCTACTTGAGAGACCGACGTGGGAGAATCACCTGAGCCTGGGAAGTCGAAGTTGCCATGAGTCATGTTTGCACCACTACACTCCAGCCTGGGCAACAATTCCAGACCCTGTCTCAAGAAACAAAAACCTCAGTTCATCTTCATTTTCTCTTCCAGATAAACATTTACATATATTTTGAGATTTATTCTGTTACATTAAAGAAATTAATACCAATAATGATGCTTATAGCTGTGTGTTTGTTTCTTTTTTGAAGGTCTTACCTATGAGAAACTGAATCGGCTAGATGAGGCTTTGGACTGTTTCCTGAAACTTCATGCAATCCTACGAAACAGTGCCGAAGTTCTTTACCAGATAGCAAATATGTATCTTATTTGAAAAACTTAGGGACAGTTATTAATTCTCTCAATTGGTGATTGAAGATCAATAATTAAGTTTAATGAAGTAATTGATGAGGATAATATTTGAAGTAAGTGATGAGAATGATCTAGTAAATTATCATGTGATTAAAAAAAGCCATCTGAATGATGCTATTTTAAAATGTCATTTGCATTGAAAGAGGAATTAATGATTAAAGCTATCATTTATTAAATTTTGAAAATAACTGAAGTAATCAAGTATGACATTTTGGATACATATAAACCATTGAAAGTCAACTTGGTGCTTTAGAACATTGTATTCTAAAGCTTGTAGGGTATCACTGAAGCACTAACTTACTAAATAAAATATTGTTTAATACTGATTAGCACTATTGATTGAGTTTGGATAATTTTTCTTATTTTTTTAGCTGGCCTCTAGATATAATGAGGTCTGCAAAGACTGTTACCCTCTAATATTACATAATTCTTCATATGAACTCATTTATTCTGTTTATTTAATAGTCATTTATTGAATGTATACTGTGTGTGTCAGTATTATGTTTTGAACTTGGGGGAATGCCCTCATGACAGTTTCTTCCACAACACTTAGGTTTCTTAATAATTCCTGCTCTTGGTTAGAAAAGCAGGAATTTATTAGTGTTTTTAATGCCTTTCATGCTATTTGAAAAGCACTCTAATTTCTCTCCTTATTTTAGTAAGCTTTGACCACAACATTGGGAAGAGTTAAACATCTTAGGTAGATTTTTAAGTTACTATTATCTTGATTTAAATTTTATACAAATATGTTTAGAAAATTTTTTATGTTGTGAGGTGTAGCATTAATAATTTTAAGTACTATCTGCTGTGCTTTCGATAAAGAATTTTATTTTAAAATTTTAGCTTTAGGCCAGGCACAGTGGCTCATGCCTGTAATCTCACTCAGCACTTTGGGAGGCCGAGGCAGGTTGATCATTTGAGGGCAGGAGTTCAAGGCCAGCCTGGCCGTCATGGTGAAACCCCGTCTCTGCTAAAAATACAAAACTTAGCCAGAGATGGTGGTAGGCACCTGTAATCCCAGCTACTCACAAGACTGAGGCAGAAGAATAATTTGAACCTGGGAGGCAGAGGTTGTAACGAGCTAAGACAGTGTCATGGGACTCCAGCCTGGGCCCAGAACTAGGCTCTGTCTCAAACAAACAAACAAACAAAATTAGTTTTAGAGCAGATAGCATCGTAGTTACTCCTGTTAGTCTTTTTGTTCTGTTTTATTCATTTAATTTCTCTGAAATGTTCAGTGTCATGATCTTTTACTACCCAGTTCATGATCAGCTTGGATCCAGTCAAGCAATTGATGTATTTGAGACTGTGTGAGTACATTTTTTAATTTTTTTTTCTTGTGGTATCACACTTATCATTAAAAACAGTAGATCATCTGGTATCACACTTGTCACCATTGAAAACAATACTTCTTTTTCAATAAACTTTGGATTGGAATATTTTCATTTCACTGAGATACCTAATATGTATAAAATAAATATTAATAAAAAAGTATTGGTATGAATAAATTATTTGAATATACCCAGAAGACTTAGTAGGTACTAAAGGAAGCTACAAAAAAAAAAAAAAAGAAAAGAAATCACTATCTTTGGGTTTATAATCTGATTAGGGAAAACTAACAGGAAAAATACATGAAAAGAATTCTCTTAATATGCTGAACATGTTAAAGAGAGATGGAATAACTGGATGCAACATCGAGGACATTTTTATTAAGGACAATTTTTGGACAATACTTTGAATAATTCTACCAGAAATTTGGGAGTTGATCGTAGTGGATAGATAGTAATGAAGCAAAAGGGAAAGCAGACTATGCATAGGGAGCAAGTGTTATTTCCACAGTACTGCTGTATTCCATCTCCACCCCAGAGATAGCCAGAGAAAACAGTATACAATAGCGTATTACTGTAGGCTAAGAAATATTGTTACTAAAATATATTTAAGTTTTCTTATTGATTAATGAATTTAGAAAATGTGTTTTCCTTAACTGACATTGCCTAAGATATGAATTAATGGAAAATCTCAGTCAAGCTATTGAATGGCTAATGCAGGTGGTGAGTGTTGTTCCAACCAATCCTCAAGTTTTAGCTAAACTAGGAGAATTATATGATCGTGAAGGAGATAAATCTCAAGCATTTCAGTATTACTATGAGGTAGGTGTGTTATCTTTATTTCTGTGTCTTAGAATTTTGTAAATTGTTATAAAGAAGGCATCAGAACTTTAAAATTTTAAAAGATCTAAACTGTTTTAAAATGATTTATTTAAAATAAAGCATTCTTGGAAAATGAAGTTAGTTTTGTAGCTGGGATTATAGGCACCTGCCATCACACCCAGTTTATTTTTGAATTTTTAGTAGAGACAGGGTTTCATCATGTTGTCCAGGCAAGTCTCAAACTCCTGACTTTAGGTGATCTGCCTGAAGTTAGTTTTTATTTGATTTAATAAAAAAATGAAATGGAGCTGGGCTTGGTGGCTCATGTCTATAATCCCAGCACTTTGGGAGGCCAGAGTGAGGATTGTTTAAAACTAAGAGTTCAAGTCCAGCCTGGGCAATATAGCAAGACCCCATCTCTACAAATAATAATAAAAGGACAGGCGTGATGGCCCATACCTGTAATCCCAGCACTTTTGGAGGCCAAGGAAGGCAGATAACTTGAGGCCAGGTGTTTGTGACCAGCCTGGCCAATACGACGAAACCCCATCTCTACTAAAAATACAGAAATTAGCAAAGTGTGGTGGTGGCATGCTTTTAATTCCAGCTACTGAGGAGGCTGAGGCACAAGAATCGCCTGAACCCAGGAGGCGGAGGTTGTAGTGAGCCGAGATCGCGCTTACTGTACTCCAGGCTGGGCAACAGAGCAAGACTGTCTTAAAATAATAATAATTATTAATGATAACAAAAAGTACAAATTAATTTTTCTCTTGAAGCATGATTTGCATCTCTTTTTTATTCTTTTAAGTGTTTAATTGGACTCATATATTGTTACATCAAAAATATTTACAGATAATTGAAAAATGTGTCAAGCACAGCTTAGGTTTTCTAAATATTATATAGTTTCAGAATTTACAGAGTTCTTAGGACAGCTCATACTCCTTTATTAAGAAATTTTACATTGGATAAATTTATTCAGTAGGTAAAGTATTCAAGAAGTATATGTTGCCATTGAAGTATTGTTACATTCCATATTTTTTTCCAGTCATATAGATATTTTCCTTGTAATATTGAAGTCGTTGAGTGGCTTGGAGCCTATTACATTGACACCCAATTTTGGGAAAAAGCCATTCAATACTTTGAAAGAGCTTCTCTTATACAGTAAGTAATTATTAGGATTTTATGTTTAGTTAATGTTATGTGTTGAGATTTTTTTTAATCCCTGGAATTAGTATCTGTTAGACCTAGTAAATTCAAGAACAGATGTTGATGTACATTCATGAATTATTTCTATTTTTTTATATTTTATTCCGTTTTACTTGGTCTTTATTATGATAAATATATTTCCCTTTGAATAGAATTTTTAGAATATCCTCATTAAGGTACTTTTCTTAATGTAGTTTTCTTATTCACGTCTCAGCACACAATTATTAGTTCTTTATCAATTAGAAAATTACTGTTTCAGACCTAGGACAAAGTTTCATTTCTAAAAGAATCTTAATACAAAACAGTTTTGTTGGTTTAAATTTACAATTGATATATATATTAAAAATTAAAATGTTTTAAATGTCTTTAAGCTTGTATCAGAATGTTTTATACATATCTGATTCAAAATAATTCAAAAATAATTAGAATACATCATCTTCTGCTTTGTATTTGGCCATATTGAATTTTAAGATAAAATGTCCCTTAGAATAATTGGAATAATAAAGAAATGCTTAATAAGTCAAATAATTTCTGTTTGAAATTTGTATTAGGCAATTCATTTTTATGATGCTTATTTCACATGAATGTTGTTTTGAGAATTATAAAATTAATGACCAAGGATGAGGAGATAGTTTTAGTTTAATTACATCTTTAAGATGAAAGCTATTTCAGTGGCACACTGTAAGCTTTTATGTTACACTTAATACTACTCTAACCTTAGCTGTTAGCTCACACAAGACCATTCCTTCTTTGAGGCTCAGTCACCACTGTTCCATTTTTAACTCCTATTTGTAAATGTCAGATGTTGACTAACAGTCAGTCTCTTACATAGTCTAACTTGTATTTTTCTTCTTCATTCCATCAGTATTCCAGCCCCACAAGTTTTGACTTCTCTAACTCCACCAATCTTTACCCTCTCTGTAGTTCAGTCACCTGACTCTTATCTGATTGTATTATTACTAACACATTTACACCAGTAAAATGCTTTTTTTTTTTTTTTTTTTTTTGAGACAGAGGATGGAGTCTTGCTTTGTCGCCCAGGCTGGAGAGCAGTGGCACAATCCCGGCTCACCTCAACCTCCACTTCCCAGGTTCAAGCGATTCTTCTGCTTCAGCCTCCCAAGTAGCCCCTGTGCCTGGCTAATTTTTGCAATTTTTTTTTTAGCAGAGACAGGGTTTCACCATGTTGGCCAGGCTAGTCTTGAACTCCTGACCTCAGGTGATCCTCAGCCCCCCAAAGTGCTGGGACTGTAGGCATGAGCCACCATGCCAGGCCTACACCAATAAAATCTTGTTACAATATCCAGCTCTCAGAAGATAACCTCTTATCTTTCCAATTTCCATACTCCCTATTTTCCAGTGCATTTTTCTTTGGTGGTATTGAGACCTCCACTGTTGATCTTCCCCTTATCTTGCAGTCTCAGCTTCCTTCTGGCTTTAATTCTGAGCTTATCCATACTACACTGCTTAATTGATCACATCTTTTCCCTTTCTTGCTAACATTCTTGGTTGTTTTGTTTTTTGATTTTTTTTTTCTTTCTTTACTGCCCCATTTATTCCAAAAGATTTCAGTTCTTGGGTTATTCCAGCCATTGATTCCATACCTATTCACAGCCTGTGAAGCACTGTCAGAGGTAAATTATGTAACCAGGTGAATTGATGCCACACAAATCTGTATGATATGAACACTGCTCACCAGTCTTAAGTATTTCTCTCCCTTCTGTTTCTCTCTCTGATCTCTCCAACTGCCCTATGTATTTTATATGCCTCAGTTTCCCAGAATGTAGAAGCCTTTTTGAGAAACCTTCCTAACATTTCTCTCTTCCTGCTTTCCTATAAACTTAACTTTCACTTGCACTTGCTTTTATCTCCTTCTCCGTGACAGAAACTTACTCAATATACATTCATTATATTACATCTCTTTTGAGCATTTGTTTTCTGTACCATGTATCTTAATTTTCACATTTTCTCTTTTTTACATGCTAAGCTTTGATTTGTTCTGTAAGTTCTACCTCTACAATAAAAATGTAGGCTCTTTGAGAGTTGAGAGTATTAGTTATTATGTTACATAGTTGTTTGTGTATTCTTAAAATATTGTTTACATGTCGACTTGGCATATAGTTGAATTAAGTTAAAAGTTTTTACTGTAGAAATGCCTCACCTTGGTATATCTCTTAGAGTTTTATGGTTCTTAATAATGTGGTATTTTTGGCAATTGGTTTAAGCCTAAACTGTTGTTTTTATTTTCTTTACATTCATAAATCATGTCTTGAAATATCAAGAAATCCTAGTTTCTGATTGGTCCACTTAATGTAATTCCATTCTTAAGCAGCATTAGGTAATGTTCTTTAACATTTATTGTGATTATTATTATAAGACACCATCAAGTGGACCAATATATGCATTATGGGAATTCCAGAAGGGGAAGAGAGAGGAAAAGGGAGGAGAGAGACTATTTGAGGAAATATGGCCATGCTTCCCAAATTTGGGGAAAGACATGAATCCAGAAGCCCACACAGGTCAGTGAACTCTATGTAGAAAAAACCCCAAAAGATCCACAGTGAGATACATTATAATCCAAACTGCCCAAAGACAGAGAGAGAATCTTGAAAGCAACGGGAGAAAAGTGGCTCATCACAAAAAGGGACCCTTAGTAAGATTATAAGTAGATTTCTCACCAGAAACCTTGGAGGACAGAAAGCAATGGAATGATATATTTAAAGTCCTGGAATTTAAAAGCAAACAAACAAACAAAACACAAACTGTCAACCAAGAATTCTGTATCTGGCTGAGCACCATGGCTCATGCCTATAATCTCAGCACTTTGGGAGGCCAAGGCAGGCTGATCCCCTGAGGTCAGGAGTTCGAGACCAGCTTGGTGAAGCCCCGTCTCTACTGAAAATACAAAAATTAGCTGGTTGTGGTGGCGCGTGCCTATAGTCCCAGCTACTCTGGAGACTGAGGCATGAGAATCGCTTGAGGTGGAGGTTGTAGTGAGCCAAGATCGCCCCACTGCACTGGAGCCTGGGTGACAGAGTGAGACTCTGTCTCAATCAGTCAATCAATAAATAAAATAAGTTGTTATTGTTCAAATGAGATTGTTATAAGTTTTAGATGTTAATACCCAAGGTAATCATTAAGAAAATAACTAAAAAACCAAATAGTACACTATAAAAAATTAAGAAAATAAAAATCAAAATAGTACACTACAAAAAAATCAACAAAATACCAAAAAAGGGTAGCAATAGAAGAATTGAGGAAGAAAAAATATAACACATGCAGAAAACAAATAGATAGCAGAAGCAAATCCTTCTGTATCAGTAATCACATTAAATAAAAAAGTATTAAACTTTCTCATTAAAAGAAAAAATTAGGGCCAGGCACGGTGGCATACTCCTGTAATCCTAGCATTTTGGGAGGCCGAGGCAGGTAGATCACCTGAGGTCAGGAGTTTGAAACCAGCCTGACCAACAAGGTGAAACCTCGTCTCTAAAAAGAAAAAGAAAAAAATTAGATTGAATAAAAAAATCAAGATCTACTTATATATTGTCTACAAGGGATGCACTTTAGATGTAAGGACACAAAAGAGATTAGAAACAAAAGGATTGAAAAAGATATTCCAAACAAATATTAATGGTAACCAAAAGAGAACTGGGAGGCTATAGAATTGCCAGACAAAATAGGCCTTAAATCACAAAACATTACAGGAGCCAAAGAACAATACTATATGTTGGTAAAAGGTTCATTACTGTAAGAATTACTTAGAAACCCAGCAGAGGAGCCCCAAAATATATGAAGCAAAAATTGATATAATTCAAGGATGAGATAGACCTCAATATTAGTTTTAGACTTAATACTTTAAAAAATGTGTGTTATCTTCTGTGAACCTCACACAGAAGATAGATAAGAAAATAAAGATTTAAGCAGTGTATAAACCAGGCAGACCTAACAGTCATACACAAAGCACTGAACCCAACAGGAGATTATACATCCTTCTTAAGTATACATGGAACATTCTCCAGGACAAGCCGTAGGTTAGGCCACAAATTAGTAAATTGAAAAGATTGAAATCGTCTAAAGTATCTTTCCCTATTATGATATCATTAAACTAGAAATTAATAACAAAAGGAAAACCAGAAAATTCACATGTATGTAGAATTAAGAACATATTCTTAACTAGTGGATCAAATATGAAATCACCAGGGAAGTTAGAAAATACCTGAGACAAGTGAAAATGAAACACAATGTACTAAAACTTACGAGATGCTGCAAAAGCAGCCCTAAGAGGGAAATTTATAACATAAATTTCTTCGTCTTTAAGTACATTAAAGATGAAGAAAAGTCTCAAGTTAGTAACCTAACTAAATACCTTAAGGAATTAGAAGAAGAGTATTTTAAACCCAAAGCTAGCAACAGGAAGGAAATAATAAAGATTAGAGCAGAGATAAATAAATAGAGAATAGAAAAGCTGTAGAGAAAATCAACAAAACCAAAAATTGAAAAGCTCAACAAAACAGACATCTCTAGCTAGATGGACTAACAAAAAAAAAAAAGAAGAAGAAGATTTAATTACAATAAAAAAAAAAAAAAAAAGAAGAAGAAGATTTAATTACCAAAATTAGAAATGGAAGTGGAGGCATCACTACCAATTTTATAGAAATAAAAAGAGTTATAAGAAAACAACTTTGCCTCAACAAATTAGATAATCTAGATAAAATGAACAAATTTCTAGAAACACAGTCAACCAAACCCAACTCAAGAAGAAATAAAAAATCCAGATAGACCTATAACCAGTAAGGAAATTAAATCAGTAATCAAAAATATTCCAAGAAAGAAAAGCCATAAACTACATGGATTCACTGGTGAATTCTGCCAGACATTTCAAGAAAAATTCTCGTCAGTTTTTTTAAAACTCTCCTAAACATTGAAGAGAAGTTAAACACTTCCTAACTCAGTCAGTGAAGCAGCATTATCATTATACCAAAGGCAGACAAAGGCACTACAAGGTAACTACAGACCAGTATCTTTTATAGATGTAAGTGTAAAAATACTCAACAAAATACTAGCAAACCAAATTTAGCCACATATTAAAAGAACTACATTATTTGCAAGTGGAATTTACTCCCAGAATGCACGGATAGTTCAACATACGAAGATCAGTCAATATAATACTTCACATTAATAGAATGAAGGAAAAAACCCACATGATCATCTCAAATTAATGCAGAAAAGGTATGTGACAAAATTCAACACCGCTTTGTGGTAAAGATACTCAAATCAGGAATAGAAAGAACTTCTGTTTGACCATACTTCCCAAATTTGAGGAAAGACATGAATCCAGAAGCCCACGTAGGTCAGTGAACTCTATGTAGGAAACATGATAAAAGTATTATATGGAAACCCACAGTTTACAGGATACTGAATGGCAAAAGGCCAAAAGCTTTCTTTCTTAAAATAAGAAACAAGGATGCACACTTCCACTACTTCTAATCAACATGATACTGGAAGTTCTAGCCAGAGCAGGTAGGCAAGAAAAAGAAATAAAGGCATCTATCTACACTGGAAGAGATGAAGTGAAAATTAACGCTATTCACAGATGACATGATCTTATATGTAGAAATCCCTAAGGAATCCACATAAAAATGTTAGATATAATGAATTCAGCAAAGTTGAAGGCTATAAAATAAACACACAAAAACCAGTTGTATTTCTATGCATTTGCAATGAACAATCCAAAAAGGAAATTGAGAAAAAAATTCTATTTACAATGGTATCAAAAAGAATAAAATAATTAGGGATTTATTCAGCCATGGAGCTAAGAGACTGTCCTTGTTCCATTGAGTGGTCTTGGCACTTTTGTTGGAAATCAATTTACCATGTATGTGAGGATTTATTTCTGGGTTCCAGATTCTATTCTATTGGTGTATATATCTGTCCTTCTGCAGTAGTACCACACTGTTTCGATTATTGTAGCATTAGGGCAAATTTTAAAATCAGGAAATATGAGTCCTTCAACTTTGTTCTTTTTCAAATTGTTTTGGCTATTCACAGTTCCTTAAGATTCCACATGAATATTAGGGTCAGTTTTCCTGTGTTTGCAAAAAACACCATTGGGATTTTGATAGGGATTGCATTTAAGTTATAGATCACTTTGAGTAGTATTGTTTTCTTAAAAATATTAAGTCTTTCAAGTTAAGCACACAAATGTCTCTCCATCTATGTCTTTTTTTATTTCTTTCAACAGTGTTGTATAGTTTTCAGTGTATAATAAGTATATACCCAAAGGAACTGAAAGCTGAGGCTCAAACAGATACTTACACAAACATGTGTAAGTATGCATGTGTAAGTATCTGTTTGAGCCTCAGTTTCAAGTTACAGTACCCAAAACTAGCCTCAGCATTATTTATAGTAGCCAAAAGGTGGAAACAGCCCAGGTGTCCATCAACAATGAATAGATAAACAAAACATGGTACTGTAGTCCTTGTTCATCCAATGTTTTGCTGTCCATGCTTTCAGTTACCATCAGTAAAGTACAGTAAGACATTCTGAGAGAGACAGAGACCACATCTACATAATTATATTACAGTCTATTGTTTCAAGTTACATACTATATGATAATACTCATTTAAAGTTCAAAAACAGGCTAGATTGATAGTGTTAGAAGTCATGATACTTATCTTTATAGAGGAAGGAGGGTAATGTATTCAGAAACATAAATAATAATACCACACGGTAAGTGCAATGCTAAGTAATTCTAGGATGTTAGGAGAATATATGGAACAGTGTAACCATGTGGCATTAGCAGAGAGTAAAGAGGTTTGAATGAGCCTCGGAGCAGACATGGTGGTATATGCAAAAGCCAGGAGTCTAGCAAATGCAGGGAATACAGGGAAGTCCATGCTCCTGTATGGATTTGCTGTAACATGAAATGTTAAGCAAGGCATAGTGGAAAATGAGTTGGAGAGGCAGAAACGATCTAGAAAGTAGATTAACTGGGTTAGAATCTTGGATTTAGCATGTAGGTGGAAGGGAGGTAACGGGTTTTAAGGAGGGAAGTAATGTGGTTAGATACGTATTTTATTTAGATCACAGTGGGTGGCCGTGTAGGCAATGGATTTGAAGTTAAGTAACTTGCCCCAGTAGCAGGGCTGTGATTTAAAGCCAGATGTATCTGATTCCAAAGCTGGTAGGTTTGCCATCAAATCGAGTAGGAACTGAGGTTTTCTTTGAAGCCATCAGGCTTCTACTTAGAAGGGAGATTCAAAAAAATGAGAAGAGCATACATAAATTGTTCCCTAGGTGTTTCTTTCTTTGTATCTTGCTATCCTGAGATATTTTTTAACAGAAGTATTTAGAAATTCTGGTTATGGTTATTTATTTTAGAAAGGAGTTTAATTTCTTTTTAAGGGGCAAAAAGGGATCAGTAGAATTTTTTTATTCTCTGTTTAGTTGAAGCCTGATCTTCAAACACAAGATCAAAAATTGTTTCTCAGGTACTAAATTTACAAGCAAATCTAAGTGTTACGATAAAAGATTATAGCAAAAATAATGATCCTTTAAGTTTTAAATAGAATGCAATGGTTTTTAACCAAACAGGTTAAGTGGTTCTCATAAGAATATCTGAATAAAGGTATGATGAACTAGATGAACTTTGAAGAACACTTAAATTTATATGTCCTAATAGAAATATGACAGGAAATAATGAAAGAAATTATATATCTGCTATTTTCAGTAATAAAAGTGATCTAACACAAGGTCAAAAAGTAATTACAGAATAGTAGATATGTCGCTTTATAAAACTGAGCATCACAGATTTTTTTATCTCTAATTTTATCTAATTTCTTTCTTTTATAGGCCTACACAAGTGAAATGGCAGCTGATGGTAGCTAGTTGTTTTAGAAGAAGTGGTAAATGCTTTAGTTTTATTCATTTTATAGATATTTTGCTTCTCTCTTTTAAGTAATTATGCATGTAAATATGTTCCAGTTGCATATCTGTTTATTAAAACACTTTTTATAACTGTGCATATTCAAAGCATTGTATAAAAAAACATAATAGTTACTGCGTACAAAAAAGTGCTTACAAAGTAGATATTAATCATGTATTCCAATACCTGTCTTAAAAACATTTATTATTTCTCAGTTAATATGTAATCATTTTCACAAGTTAGCCACTGAAAAAAATAGGCATACTGTGTACATTATCTCTTCATTTTTTACTCACTTGATTCAAAATGTCTTGTGTGCTTGGCCAAATTTATGACACCTGAGAATCCTGAGAAAAGCTCACACTGAGACAACTGCGACTATGTGTTTTTTATACAAAGATCACTAGCTATCTTGGTTTGTGTTTTTGTTGCTGCTTTTATCACATTCTTGCTGATGACACATGTCCTGAAGGATGGAGATGTTATTAGTTTTAGAATAACTGTGAAGGTGAATAATATGCATAAAATATCAAATATCAAGCTGGGAGATAAATGTTAACAAATTTATAATCCCTCTTGTAGAGCATAAAAATGACCCAGGGAAAGAAAGTATTTGGCCAGGCGCAGTGGCTCACGCCTGTAATGCCAGCACTTTGGGAGGCCGAGGCAGGTGGATCATGAAGTCAGGAGATCGAGACCAACCTGGCCAACATGGTGAAACCCCGTCTCAACTAAAAATACAAAAAAATTAGCTAGGTGTGGTGGTGTGTGCCTGTAATCCCAGGTACTTGGGAGGCTGAGGCAGGAGAATCATTTGAACCAGGGAGTCAGAAGTTGCAGTGAGCCAAGAATGAATGTGCCACTGCACTCCAGCCTGGGTGACAGAGCGAGACTCCGTCTCAAAAAAAAAAAAAAGAAAGTATTCAATCTAAGGGAAGAAGGAAGCACAAGTTTTGAAAATGTTGACAGTTTGTTCTCACCCAGTTTGTGGGGAGGTTTCCTTCTTTATCTCTGTGAGCACCTTCAGAATGGCATCAGAAATGTTTTAATTCATAACTCAGTGTATTCCTCAAGTCATTTTAGGGGTGATGTGTAATTCCTATTGGATATACAACATGACTATGCCAAATACATTTAATTTACATCAACATGAGTTATCAATTATCTATATTAATTTCAACACCAATCATATAGAAAGTATATATACATATGAACTATTCTAAATGATTTAAAGACATAACCTGCTTCAGTTATGGAAGTACAGGTTAAAAGCAGCAGGTAGCATTGAGAACTGGCTTTGTATCACATGCTTCCTCTCTCCATTTCATCCCTCTTGTAGAGAGAGGCCCAGAGAGATTTATAACTCATTTGCTGAGATTTTAGGAAAGATCTTTGACCCAATTTGTTTTTCCTATTCTTTGCTGCTATGTGAAGCTAAATTATTTTGTTACAAAACAAATTGCTTCTATAACTTTTTAATGTTTAAAAAATTGAAGGCCAGGTGCGGTGGCTCAGGCCTGTAATCTCAGCACTTTGGGAGGCCAGGACAGGCGGATCACTAGGTCAAGAGATCAAGACCATCCTGACCAACATGGTGAAACCCCATCTCTACTAAAAATACAAAAAATTAGTCAGGTTTGGTGGCACGTGCCTGTAGTCCCAGCTAAAAAAAAAAAAAAAAAACTGTAAAGGTCAGGCATGGTGGCTCACATCTGTAATCCCACCACTGTGGGAGGCCAAGGCGGGCCTATCACGAGGTCAAGAGATGGAGACAATCCTGGCCAACATGGTGAAACCCCGTCTCTACTAAAAATACAAAAATTAGCTGGATGTGGTGGCACACACCTGTAGTTCCAGCTACTCAGGAGGCTGAGGGAGGAGAATCACTTAAACAGGGAGGCGGAGGTTGCAGTGAGCCAAGATCACACCA